TGACCTCAAAATCAATAGGGGCCATCTACTAGTTATGAACAATTAAAATGTGAAACATAAAAACTTGATTACGGGTAGTTTTGAAGATAATGAGTAGAAACTATTCTGACATTTACCGTATTTGTGACCTTTGACCTCAAGACCTCAAAATCGACAGGGGTCATCTACTAACTATGACCAATCAATAAGTGAAATATAAAAGATTTATTGATAAATTGTTTTCAAAATAATGAACGGAAACCATTTTGACATTTAAGGACCCTGTTACCTTTAAACTGGTGACCCCAAAATCAATAAGGGTCATTTACCACATATGACTAATCAACACATGAAATAGGAACACTTAGTGATAAATACTTTTCAAGATATTGTGCGGAAACCATTTTGACATTCAAGTCACTGTGACCTTGATCTTTGACCCAGTGACTCCAAAATCCAAAAGGGTCATCTTCTAGTTATGACCAATCAATATGTGATATATGAATACTTTCTGATAAATAGTTCTCAAAATAATGAGCGGAAACCATTCCGAAATTTAAAACACCTGTAACTTTGACCTTTAAGCTAGTTACCCCAAAATAAATATAGGTTATCTAATAGTTATGACCAATCAATATATGAAATATGAAGACTTTTTGATAAATAGTTTTTGTGATAATCAGCAGAAACAATGTGGTCTAACGACGGATAAACAAACATACTTAAGGTCCCTGTGACCTTGACCATTGACCTAAAGACCCCAATATCGATAGGGTCATCTACTACCTACGACCAATCAATATGTGAAATATAATGATTTAATGATAGATAGTTTTCAAGATAATGAGCTTAAACCATTCCGACATTTAAGGCCCCTGTGACCTTGACCTTTGAACTAGTGACCACACAATCATAGGAGTCATCTACTACATATGACTAATTAAATTGGAAATATAAAGACTTTGTGAGAAATAGTTATCAAGATAATGAGCGGAAACCATTCTGGCATTTAGGGTCCCTGTGACATTGACCTTTGACAAAGTGACCCCAAAATCAATAGGTTTTCATCTACTATAGTTATAACCAATTAGTATGTAAAATATGAAGACTATGATATATAGTTTTTAAGATAATAACTGAGGTCTACCGATGGACTGACCGACCAACATTAACATAACATAACATAACATAACATAACATAACATAACATAACATAACATATATTTTATTCAACATAAAATTGTACACATACAATTTATAGTTATACAGATATTGTGTGGACATTAGCAAATCAATTTACCCGCTCTTCCTCGTAGTGGGGCATAATAAAAATAACTAGGACAGGGAACGAATAAGAAAATTGATGTTCGAATATTCGTTTTTCCATATTCGAATATTCGTTTTTACAAAATTTGAGAAGACACCACCTATGTTGCTATCATTTGTATCTGAACTGCTAGACACACCAGACTTCAAAACATTCACACCATGACTCACATGTTGATTTGTTGCACAGATAACTTTATTTGTTGGTGTTGTCCCAAGCAATCTCAATCAACACGAAATAATTCCAGAATAGAACGCGCTAACTTAAAGAATAAAACTTCCCAAACGGGAAACATTTACTAGTCAGTAATGGTGAATATTATTTGCTAGATGCCTGATCAGGAAGCAATGTTTCCAAAACGGGAAGCAGCTACTTCTTAGTAAAATCGTAAAACTTCACTCAAATTCACTTTCAAAAAGAAAATGACTCAGTAGGATTTTAGATGTATCTTTTCTGCACTTAAATGTGATATTCATATTGAAGTGGGTCGAAAACTATTATGCACCGGCCATTATTCCTGAACTACGTAAAAAAGGCCAAAAAAACTTCCCGATCGGGAAGGATTTTGACGTTTGCTGCCTGATTGGGAAGCCTTGAAGGGGATTCCCCTTGTTTCCCGATCAGGAAGTATGCCCGACTGTTAAATGACGTGTATACGCCAGTTAGTCTGTCACGTTTCTTTATACTAATAATGTTTTTGTAACATTTATTTATTCATTATTTACTAATACTTTGATTCATATTGTGTTGATAAAAGTTGATAAAAGTGATACTTGTTGGTATATATATGTTGGGAATAATATAAAAGCATCCGATTTTACAAGTCCAACAATTTTGACAAAGGCCTCAGCACGCCCTATTTTGGCCACGCCGCGATACTTTCCTCAGATGTCCCACACGTGAAGTAAAGGATCGGTTTTTTACAGGGATGAGAAGAATATGATTAGTGAAAAGATATGTTCGAACAGATGGGATACAATACAACGTCTGAAGAACGCCTGAACGTACCAATTAAAGGAAGCCTTGTATTTTTTAGGTCGGGTGTGTACATGCCATTACTAAGTTTAAGTTAAAGTTCAATAGTTGTCCAGGCACCCGTTTCTCCATCTCTGGAATCGTCCAAAGGCACTGCCTACTATATCTTATACCATCTAACTAATAACTTTGGCCATTCTTGTAATGTTAATAAGTCGAAATTTCGAGTTAGTAAGTCGAAATTTCGAGATAAGTAAGTCGAAATTTCGAGTTAGTAACTCGAAATTTCGAGTTAATAAAAAACATACACCTGGCACTAATGCTCTTCCGTATAATCAAGTAAACTAAACACATTAAAAGTATACGTTGGATCTAATAAAAAAAAAATTAGAATAATATACTAATGTGCTAAAAAAAAATTTTTTCTAATCTATATCAATTAATCATAAACATGCCAATGTATTGAACATCTAAATACTCCAATAAAATATTTTTTTCTCTAATTTATATCAATTAATATTATAATTTAATAATAAACTTATCCATTTATTAAACATCTAAGTACTTCAATAATAATGTATTAATAAAAATAAAGATGGGGAGGAACTGTCTGATTATTTGCAAATATGCAGACGGTTCTCCACCAAAAGAGAGAACCGTCAGGGAGGAAACGTCAGGGGACCTGGAACTGGTAAGGGAGAGAATAGTCTGACTACCTGACTACATAACGTTGGTAGAGAACTACTATCTTGCATGGGAATTTAGTTTTGGTTTATATGTGTTCTCGTACATACCTAATTCTATGCACTATTCTCGTACATACCTAATTCTATGCACTAAGGGCTGGGCAAAGTTTAAACATTTTTTTTAAAGGAACACAAGCCAAGGTGATGTTATATGCTCAATATCTTAGCTCTTATCATTAATTCCTTAGTAGAAGATTTTTAAAATTTGTTTCCCATTTATGTCTTTGATAAATATATGACCACAAGGGCAGTTTAACCAACATGATATACTACGTATCAAATATATAAGCTCCAGGCACTGTAGTTTCACATGAGATTTAGATATGTTTCCCTTTTTAAGACTATCTAAACTAACAGAGCCCAAGTGCTAGGTCAAACTCCCCTGGGAACTACAAGGTGATGCTACATGTGCATGGCAACGATCTTAGCTCTGGGCAAAGTAGTTAATAAGAAGAATTTTTTTAATATTTCATTTAAAGTCTATAGTTAGCTCCATGCAATCACAAACTTATGAATTAGACTGCAACCATTTATGTAACTTTTGTAGAAGGTTATCTAAGAATAATGCCTGTGAAGTGTTGGCAAAATTCACCATGTATTTAAGATATCAAGTAAAAAATGTGGATAATGATGGACCACTTGCATAATGCCATAACAAAAACACACTTAATGCTAAAATAGGACCAGAGAGAGTTAAGTTATAATTTTTTCATTTTGCAATTTTCCTAGCCAACATGTACATTTGTATCTGTAATTTAAGTTTCAAACTAGAAATGTGTCTATAGGACACAGTTGCCCCCCACACGCCACTGTTCTGTCAATCTTATGACTCTAGGTCAAATATTTTTTGGACTACATGTGCCACAAGTTGAAAACTAAAAATCTTTTACTAAGTAAAGGGCAAGAACTTTACAAATACTGAATAAATCCACAAGCAAACCCAAAGGTGCATAAATACGCATGCTGACCAACATTCTTGTAAACTTTTAGGCCTACAAGTCAAATACTTTTTGAGCTATGCATGAACAAGTTGAAAATTGCAAATTTATACTACTGTAAGTCAAGGGCAATAACTCTAACACAACTGAAAAAAATCCACATGCAAAGTCCCAGGTGCATAGCTTCACAATGTCAGATGTTGATCATTATTCCTGTAATTTAGTGATGTTGATCATTATTCCTGTAAAGTTGGTTGATTCTAACTTAAGCACTCAAGGAACAAATAACACAACATAATGAAACGGTTTTTACTAAGTCAAGGGCAATAACTCTACAAATACTGGATAAATCCACAAGCAAAACCCAAGGTGCACAACTACATATGCTGAGCAACATTCCCGTAAGGTTTCATGACTCTGTCAAATCCTTTTTGAGTTACATGCGACACAAGTTGAAAATTGCAAAAATTTTCTAAGTCAAGGGCAATAACTCTAAAAATAATATATAAATCCACACAAAAATACCCAGGTGCATAACTACACATGCTGATCAACATTCTTGTAAGGTTTCATGACTCTAGGTAAAATATTTTTTGAGTTACGTGTGACACAAGTTGAAAATTGGAAATTTTTACTAAGTCAAGGGCAATAACTCTAAAAATACTAAAGATATCCACACGAAAATACCCAGGTTCACAACTACACATGCTGAACAACATTATTGTCAGGTTTCATGACTCTAGGTCAAATATTTTTTTGAGTTACATGCGACACAAGTTGAAAATTGAAAATTTTTAATAAGTCAAGGGCAATAACTTTAAATATACTAAATATATCCACATGAAAATACCCAGGTGCACAACTTAACATGCTGATCAACATTCCTGTAAGGTTTCATGACTCTAGGTCAATTACTTTTTGAGCTATGTGCAACACACAAAGAGAACGTACGGACGGACAAGGGTAAATCTAAATCCCCCCCCCCCCCCCCCCCCCCCCTATAGTGGGGTCACAACAAAAAACAAAAAGAAGAAATATGTCATCATATATATATTTTTTAATATCAAAATTGTGTGACAAAATTTTTTTTTTAAATAAGTGCATTGTACAAATGAATGTAATATATAAATTAAGTGAAAATGTTAGAACATTTTACATTTAGTTGAGAAACCAAGTTGCTCTTATTTCCATTTTAAATATTAACATTATTTTGTTTTCATATGCAAAATAAAGTAACAACACATGATTCCTCAACTAATCACTTGTACATTTAACAGATATAAAATTTGGAGTCATAAATATGCATTGTCATTCATTTCAGACTTTTTTTCATAACCAAATGCTATTGCATTTATGAAATAGTAAGACCAAATCTCTCATATAATTCAAACTGTTGTATCACAAAAATCAGAAAATGACAATTTAAACTTGTTTTTCACTTTTTGTTACAACAATAAATTAACTCTCATTGTTGACAATATTTGTTGACTTCGTTTTCTATATCTTGCATTGTCTGTAGAACACTTCCTAACTTTGCTTCATCCATCTCAAATCTTACAACTTCAGATTTCTGTGAAAAAAAGAAAAAGAAAATGTAAACATAAAAGAAAGTTAAATATCAAAAATAAAAATAATAATTTGTACTTGAAGATTGAAAATTCCACTTGTCCGCTCGTTATTACGAGTAGTATTTAAGAGAATTCGATGCAGGACGAGTAGAAAAATATTGCCTGCACATTGGATTTAGTAGCTACTAGTCCTGCAGGACGAATGACTCTGAAAATAATTTTCCATGCCCGGTACTCCAGTAGTCTTTGAAGACATACGGTTATACATATAATTAATTCAAGAACATAGTTTGTTTGTTTGATTGGGTTTTACGTCGCACCGACACAGTATAGGTCATATGGCGATGTTCCAGCTTTACTGGTGGAGGAAGATCTCAGGTGCCCTTCCGTGCATTATTTCAGGCACAAACGGGCACCAGAGTAGAACCACCGATGTACCGTAAGCTAGCTGGATAGCTTCCTCACATGAAAGAATCCAAAGTCCCTGTCGGGATTCGAACCCCACAGCAAGAATATAGCAAATAGTTATAGTATAACAGTTTAACCTATAATCTGCTAATTTCTGAAATACACTTGTCCAGCTTCCATTTCTTTACGTCATTTCTATTATAAATTTTTAGGACATCAAAATGAAAATGTCAAGTTAGTCAGCCATCATTATAGAGCCTGGACAGATTGCATTGATGTACATGCTGGTCTGACAAAAGGCTTATTAGTCCCCTACCGGTTTAACCGGAGGGGACTTTAGGTTAACCCTCCGTCCGTCTGTCTGTCTGTCCGTCTGTCTGTCAGTCCGTCAGTCCACAAAACTGGATCCCGCAAACGCAAAAAGTACTGAAAATATTTTTATGAAACTTGATATATGGATAGATGGCAGTATGGAGATTATGCACGTCTTTTTTTTTTCTTCCTATGTTGAAAATTCTGGTTGCTATGGCAACAAATAGTCTGAAAATATGGCAAATTTAACACATAAACTGGATCCAGTGATAACTCAAAAAGTACTGAAAATATTTTTATGAAACTTGAAATATGGGTAGATGGCAGTCTGGAGATTATGCACATATTTTTCTTTTCTTCCTATGTTGAAAATTCTGGTTGCTATGGCAACAAATAGCCTGAATTTCAAGATTTCTGATTTAAATTTTTCAGCTTTTTCACTATATGTTCTTTATTTCTTAAGGTGTTTACTTCAAACTTTAAATATAAGTTTCTGGTCATCAACCACATCATATGTGACAAGGTTTATAACTCTAGCACAAAAAATATCAGTATTACCTCCCTTGAACTTAGATTTTTTAGGGGAAAAAATGTTGTCTTTTTTAAATAACTTCTTTATTTCCTAATGTATCTACTTCAAACTTCATATATATGTTTCTTATTATCACTCGACATTTTTGAGAAAGTTAAATACTCTAGCAAGACTATTTCCAGAATTATGTCCCCCTTGAACTTAGATTTTTTTTCGAGAAACTGGTATTTTCACTCCAACTTCTTCATTCCTTATAGGATTTACTTTAAAATCCCACATCGTAATAATATGACAAGGTTGTATAAACATAATTTCCTTACTAAGCATGGAAACTTAACACATTACTGTGATATAGACAAACTTATTTTATTATGTTTTGTGGTTGATATTTTCAAATACAGACTTCATCCTCAAATTCATTATAAATGGCAATACACAGGAGTGTATGACAATTAAAGAACTTTTTGAGGGACCGGTAGGGGACTACTGTATTGCCCGCAATACTATCAAATGCTTGTTACTTTTGGTTCTAGCACATCAAAGTGCCCGGAACCAGCTCAACAGCTGCCAGTATATATTTAGTTTTAAGTGTGGAGAAAATGGAATATTCTTCAATGATACAAAACAATAGATCAACATCAGCTTCACTTATTTTACATTTCCTCTTGTTTGACAACAATACAATACAGTCTTTGTCAAAATGAATGAATAGTAGAATTATTTTCAAACTATATTAATATTTTCATTTTGGTAAATTATCAAATAATAATTACATTAACTGGAAACTCAGCAAAAATTGGATTAATAAAATGTCAATAGAAATATTATTAAATCAGTCTATTAATAATCCGCTCAACTGGCATGGATTCAGAAATATTATATTACCTGTGTATTAGTTGTCTTTGGTCCTAGCTGTAGCTCCATTATTGCAGTTGGAGCATTGATCTGGTCTATATGCCGAGCCTGAGATTGTATATCAATTCTCCATGACACATGTTTTAATGTATTGTTCCATGTTGAATGTGAAATAACAGCTTCATGTATTTTGTTTTTATGAATTTTCCAGAATTTCCTAAATGCATTAGCCTGATTCTCTGTGATTCCACCTTCTGGCTTCTTCATTTGTGATGTAAGATACACCTCTGACTGGTTTAAATCCATATCTGCTGACACCATACTCTGAAAATTTATTTTAAAAAAAATATATATAGAACATGCAAGCAAAAGCTTAACCAAGATTTTTTTCAACGTTCAACTCGGATAAAACCATGCTGGATAACCCTGACATCATGTCATGGGTCTTGGTCAGTGATCTGAAGACATGACCTGTTAAAATGTATACCTTCTGTGGTTAACAAAATATGTAATATTTAATAGCTATAATTATTCAGTATTGCTTTATAAATAAATATTGAATATGTAAACTTGTTTTGACATTAAATGATAATGAAGATACTTCGTCCAAAAATTGATTATTCATTGAAAATTTTAAGAAAATAATGCTCATCTACTCTACTTTTCTACTTATTTAGACAAATTCAAGACTTGCTATTACAAAAGGCACTAGCTAGCTTGCAATCGCTTGTTTGTCTGGTTTACAAAGCAACTGGAGATTAGCACCAATCATATCTTTTTGTCCAGTCAGATATTCATATCACTATTTTGTCGTTGTGAAAGGATAACTATTTGTTCATAACAATGTAAGTAAGAGAAATATAAGCCAAGTAAGAATTAAAAAGTCCTTTTGTATTTAAATTGTTTTAAAATGATGTTATGAAAATTTATCAATGTAATTTGTATAACAGCTGAATTTAGAAAGTGCAATTTTATAATGACTGATCAACAGTCCACTGGATGTTAAATAAGTTGAATGTCTTGTAACTATGTAAATGTAACATTTTTATTTCTTTGAAAAAAATGCAGCAAAATATAGACTTTAAGTCCCTCATTGAAAGACTTCACATTTTCTTTTTTATCAAAGTTTTATGTTCATAGAAAAATGCAAAGTGGATTTGACCAATGTAAAAAATAGCTTCAAACCAGCATTTTACATGTATGTCTAAATCAAAGGGGTTATATATAAAATATTAATCCCAATATTTTTTTTCAAATTGTTTGTGTAAGTTAATTACACTATATATTGGTCTTAATATTCGGACTGAATATTGACTGTGTAATGAAATAATTATATGACAAATCAGAATATGGGAGTTAAATGTCTTGTACAATTTAAACTATGAAATTAGGCAAAGCCTATGAACAGGGAAGTCGGTCTCAAAAATTGTTCCTTTTTCTGTTGTAAAGGTGTCATTCGGTATTTTATACACCGTTTTCATTTTCATTTCGGAACACTCAATTTAAAGATTATTATCAATCCGAAAAGCTGCAAATTGTTTCGTTAGCAAAATACCTGGCCTATTATCATTGAGTTACATTGAATATGGCGGTGCACAATTAGAACTGACATGGATTTCTTTGAAAGGTATAGATTTCTGTATATCTTTTAATTGTTTTTTATTTGATTTTCTCTTAAATAATTATATACAATAGTCTATATCCGGGCAAGCCAAAGGCCGGGCCCTCATCCCGTTCCCAGTCTTTGACTTCTCCGTTTTATAATGGTGCTGAATAAATGTGTTATTTTCTGATTATTTATGATATAACAAATTAAGGACAGGACTAGAAAAATGAATGATAAAAATAATGTGCTGGGGGTGTGTCCTTATAAATGAATATTTACCTTTATCAACGAGGAACATTTTGATAACAAATTTGAAAAGTCTTCATCTGTGAAACTAGGGAATATTTCTTGCTTTAGAAATTCGTCTGTGATGTCTGTTTCGCCATAGTAGTTGCGCTTTGCGATGCCATTCAATAAAGCCAAAATATTTTTGGTATCATCTGCCATTTTGAAGTCATGTGACATGTGATCATGGGCAACAAACGCTCATTAGAAGATTAAAGATGGCGGCGCCCATGTCGGCTTTCAGAAATTCTTCATTAAAGTCAAATAAACAAGAAACAACACCATTTGAACAAGAACAAGATGCTAATTCTGCATTGTCAGAACTAGATAGAGGTAAATGCGCGTCATCTATTTATTTATCATAATATTCAACAATCACTGATCCATTTTTGCTAATTATTTATTTGTTCGTACCCAATACAACTCGTACCCAAAACATGTCTTACCATAGTACATTATTTCATTTTGATGCCGAGATCACTAGGACATATTGTATTTTGTTTTGCTTATTTGTTTATCTCTTTTCCTGTTTGTTACCAGGGCCTTTTTACCTTCTATAACAGGGGCCGGTATAGGGCTGCTTCCCCAAAGAAAATTTCTTTAAAATCATGCAGTTTTCCCCAAAAATTGAATTTACATTAAGTTTTTTCTTCCCCTTTTGCAAATATACCATGTAATTTTTCCCCAAAATTAAGGGCTGGGCTGCTTCCCCAAACTGTGAAAAAAAGCCCTGGTTACATAACTTTGACCTTGGATAGATCTATCTTAGTCTTGCGTGATTACCAGGTCTAGAAAAGTCCTATAGCTAATAGGGTATGAACTTACAACTTCAATACAACAGCAAAATGACGTCATCCTAAGCACATATTTCCCTTCTAAAACAACGTCATTTTAACATGGTTCATTCATAAAGTGCACTAAAATGACGTTGTTTGGAACGCGACTCATCTGGCACCCCCCATGCCAGATGAAATTTCCTGCATTGGTAAATCTACCTGCTATGCAAGAAATAGTTTTCTTTACCTATCAGTGAAATAATCAGATTTCCATCATTTCATCCCCAAATTACCCAAGACATTTCAGCCCCAGATGTTTCAGCCCTTTACCAAATCAGCCCCATTCAGAGTAAGTCCATCCTGTGATTAAACTGGAATATAAATAGCATTACAATAAATTAATGAATCAGTTGATTTATTAATTTGATTTAATTACGATTTGTATAAGAATTAAAAACTTTAAAAGCATTAATATTTATCTAAATAGTTCAAGAGATGAAAAGATAATGCATTATTTACTAAAGAATTAAAGTGTCAAAATTGTTTGTGTTATAAATCCAGCAATATACTAGTAGGGCCGAAACATCTCGCGGAAAAGGGCCAAAACGTCCAGGGGCCAATTTTTGCACTGAGACCGATTTTGGTTTGGGGCCAAAACGTCCTGGTTCCAAATTTTCAGTGTCATTTCAAGTTGGGCGCTGTCATTATGAAAAAAATGTAACTCAATGATAATCAGCAGGGTATTGCGATAACGGAACAATCGCAACTTTTCAGCTTAAGAATAATCGTTGGGCTGTTTGATTGGAAACGGAAGTGGTGCATGAAATAATTTGTGGCCGCCATTTCTAATGTAATTCAATTCTAATCAGCCGGGTTTTTTTTTTTAATGCGTTTATTTAAGGTCGCCGCCGGAAAGCCCATATGGGCGACCATACACTCAAGTCGGGCCATCCTAGAGTGTCCCGTCGAGAATTTTTCGTCGATTTTTTTCAAGCTTTAATTGGTGGAGGAAGACCCCAGGTGCCCCTCCGGGCATTATTTCAGGCACGAGCGTGCACCTGGGTAGAACCACCGACCTTCCGTAAGCCAGCTGGATGGCTTCCTCACATGAAAGATTTCGACCCGAGTAAGGATCGAACCTACAGCGGTGAGGGACCTGTGATCTCAAGTCAGCGACCTTAACCACTCGGCCACGGAGGCCCCTATTATCAGCCGGTTATTCCGTCCACTGGGCGGGTCCCCTCAGGACGGATATTCCGATCCGAACCGCAACATATGACAGATATTATTAGGGCATTTTTCAAAAAATGTGCAAATTCTTGTCCCACAGCTATTTTCATAATTATTTTACATAATTTATTATAAATATGCATTTTTCTTTTACTGTGTATTCATCTAATATATCATTAATAATTTACACAGATTCTTCTGATATAACAGATAATGCTGTCCGGATATTATTGATTAAAAATATTTCTTGTATAGTAAAATTAAAGGTGTCACAATTTAAAAAGATAACATTGTACTGAAACTGTTAGCACTTAAATATATAAAAATAGAAGAACATTTATATTTTCTAAGTAATTCATAGACAAAACAAGATTTCTTTTAAATAAAAAACAACCTTATTTGTATATTATCATATTTTTTTAAATTCCAAATTTGTCCGATATTTGATTTCCATCCTGTCACAACAGAGAATTGTTTTTCCATAAACAATTATTAGTCCCTCTAACTTCCTGATTTATGTGTACAGAAGTAGTCTCCCTTTTCAAAAACAAAACGGTGCATTAAGAACAGTCATTGTTGGCGCATAGATGAGTTTTCCATGAAAATAATTGCTGACGGACAAGGTGAGTACATCTTAAATTTCCTTCCTGTCACTGTCTTTTTGGAGGCATAACTAGTCTTAAATCCTTTCTTCTATTTACCATGTTTTGATACATGATGTGCATTTTAAATTTTTCCCTCCACATGAACTTGAAAAGTGACCAGTTATTATTTTTATTGTTTTTAATCATTTATTTTCCATACTGTCACATTCCATTCTGTCACACTGAAATTTTGTGACAGGAAAGAATGTTTCTGTGACAGGAAAGAAAAATGAAATAAAATATTGTTAAATAATGTTTTATTTTAAAATATATCTAAAGCCCAGTGATTTTGTAACAAAAACATACATATTACCAGTACACAACCCAGAGCAACACCATTCGCCTGCTTTTGAACTGACTACAATGTTTTGTTTTATTAAATATATATGTAATTGCCCCCATTTATGATTAAAGTACTACATTATCTTTAAAAAATTACATATAGATTCTTATTGATTAACCAGAGTTGCAATGGTTTTCAATATTGTTATCGCTAACATTTTATTATGCCCTGATGGAGTATTTGGAGAATTATTGTTTTTGTCCCATCCTGGTCTGTAGGTCTGTCTGTCTGTCTCAAAAGTTTAACTTAGTTTATTATTTTCTCATTACTTGACATATTATTTTCATATAATTGTTTACAAAAAGACTGCAAAAGAATCCATTACATATCACCTTGACCTCCAAATGAGCTTTTTTTGGATAGCATAAATTTGCAAAAACTCCTAAAAAAAAATAGCATTGTATATTTCTTAAGACATGACCTCAGTAAAACTCAGTACATATGACCTTCACCTACTAATGACCTTAACCTTTAAAGTAAAGATGTTCAAAAGGTCACCCAAAAACTTTAACATTGTTTTAATTCCCTTATTAGCTGACAGATTCTTTTCATATTCACACACATTATTCCTTGTTTTAGGTATAAAATGGCATTGGCTGCAGAGCATGCACGTTGATACAGACAGAGAAGGGACGCTGATTCACAGAAAAGGGCATCTTCCCTTATACTCTGTTTATCCAGAACTGGGAAACCCCATTGTAAGGCAGCATCTACATCGTACCCAGCCTAGACTTCAATCTTTACAGACCACAGTTCATATCATGTGGACTAGTACAAGGAGTGATATGCTTGACAAGAACTGGGTACCGAATCATTTTGCACCCTTGATACCCATTGCTCCACCTGATTCTGATGATGCAGTAGAGCCCTCTATTCCAACCTCTTCAGACACGAACTCAAGCAAAACAGTTTTTACAGAAAATACTTTGTTATTGCTCAACACATTTGTTGCTGTTAGGTATCATGGAAAACCCTACCCTGGGCAAGTAATTGATGTGAGCGAAAGTGAAGTTTTTGTACGGTGCCTCCATCAAGTGGGCAAAACAAAGAATGAGTTTTATTGGCCAAAGTTAGTTAAAGATGAATGCTGGTACAAGTTGGGAAATATTATTGTTGTACTACAGTAGATGAGCCTCAGGTGAAAGCTTCCACGTCTGTATACAAACATCTCATTTTCAAAGAGTTATTAATAATAAAATGAACCTACATTTATTGGCTCTTTATGTGCTAGTATTATGACTATAGAAGATTGTCATTTATAGCAATGCCGCAAAGTATTTGTTAATAAAAGTTGAATTACATTTTAAAATGTTATAATTAAATATTATAGCGCATTAAAGATCCTGTACATTGATTTTTGGATGGCAAATTTAGATTCAGTTAAATAGAATTGAGTAAAAGTTTGTGCATTTGGTAAACCTACTGTTTTGAAATGGATCCCTCTTTGCATTATAAACAAGTATACCAAGTTTTAAGTGGATATCAGTGATATTGTTTTGTGAAATGAACACAAACCACAGTTTTGAAAGTTAAATAAGAGCAATAATTTTAGTAAAGTATTTTAAGGTTACACACCTCTTCAAAATAGATTCATTTTTTGATAATGAGCTATTACTCCAATTAAGTTAAACAACTTTGTAGAAAGAATATTTTGGTTACCTGCCTTTTTGAAATGGATCCTCCTTTTGATATTGAACAAGAGTTGTAAGTTCAAAGTGGATACCTTTAAAAGGTTTTTAAGACAGTAAAACCAATTAAATACAAGGCAGTCTGAAGGACAGCTAAATTCTCTTCCACAGTGAACATGAATGTGTTCTTCTTGACCTTTTACCAGCCATTACCTTGATGTTATGCCATGCATATCATAAGCACATAGTCTCATGATGGTGATTTTTTGTGCCATGTTATTTAAAATCTTCCATAAAGTAAAAAAAAAGTTATGGAGAGCATACAACCTTGACCTTGGGGTAGCAACCTGGATGTTGAACTCTGCAGATTGTGTCATGGTTGTGATCATTTGTGCCAAGTAATTTTACAACCCTTGAATTGTCTATAAGTTATCGAGCGGACATGAAAAATAGATGCTTTTTACATTGGACCTTTGATTGTGACCCTGACCTTCAGGGTTGTGACTTGATTATTGTGCTCTGCCAATGGTGTCATAATGGTTATCATTTCTGCCAAGTTATCTTAAAAACATTGCAGCAGTTTTAATGTTATGTACAGACACAAAATGTAGACTTTCTAAAATTTGACTTGTAAATGTGACCCTGACCTTGGGTGTAGCAATTCAATTATTGCGCTCTGCACATCTTCTCAAAATGGTGATCACTCATGCTAAGTTATTTAAAAAAAACTTTTCAGCGGTTTTAAGGTTATGGAGCGGATACAATTGTACGTCTTTTAACACTTGACCTTTAAATGTGACCTTGACCTTGGGGAAAGCAACCAAATTATTGCGCTCTGCACATTGTCTCATAATGGTGATCACTTGTGCCAAGCTATTAAAAAAAAAACAGAGGTTTAAAAGTTGTGGAGGGGGATATGAAATGTAGACTTTTATACATTTGACCTTTAAGTGTGACCTTGACCTTTTGGGTAGCAAGCCATTATTGTGCTCTGCATGTTGTCTTATAATTGGGATCAGTTGTGACAAGTTATGTTAAGTATATGGAGCGGATACGAAATGTAGACTTTTTATTATGAAATGAAGACTTTTTGACCTTTAAGTGTGACCTTGACCTTGGGGGTAGCAACCCAATCATTGCATAATGCACATCGTCTCAAGTTGTTTTAAAGAATTAAAGCAGTTAAAAAGTTATGGAGCGGACACGAAATGTAGATTTTTATTATGAAATGAAGACATTTTAACATTTGACCTTTAAGTGTGACCTTGACCTTGGGGGTAGCAACTTAATTTTTGCGCTCTCCATATCGTCTCTTTATGGTGTTACTACTTGTGCCAGGTTATTTCAAGAAATTTTCAGTGGCTTAAAAGTTATGGTGCTGACACGAAAGTGTTACGGACAGACAGACTGACAGACAGAGGCCATTCCTATAATCCCCTTTCTGCTACGTGGAAGGGGATTAATAATTAAAGGCGTAGCTGAAATAATATTTTTTCCTTCAAAGTAGTTTGTAAAGCCAAGCTAATAAAATATGCAAGTTTAAAGAATGTTTTCTTACATGCCACCAAAATAATGTACAGTTTCTTCACACTTATTAAAGAGTTTGTTGCTATACACTATACTGTCACTAGCATGTCCATTGGGTTATATTTACAGCTGCAGAACTTTTCATTCTGCGTAAGAGTAATGCATTGTTCATGTATGCCTTTTGAACAGACATTTAAAATGTCACAGTACTGTTAGAAGATGTATGAGGTGTAAGCCATCAATGCTAGAGTTTTGTTCAAGTTAATTGGTTTAATAAAAGTTGTTATTTCATTCTACAATAAAAAGAAATAAAAATGCTGTCTATCATTATTTCATCTTTCCTTCCTGTCACGTGACGTTCCTTCCTGTAACGGTACAGTCCTTCCTGTCACATGACAGTTTTATCTAGTTTTCTCAATACTTGTTCAATAATGGAAATAAAATTATTTATATAATTCTAGGTTATTTTATATTTTATTATGTAAATGAAAAATTCAGTTCGACAAATGAAGTAAGTGAACATAAAATTAAAAAATCAGGACAATATAATATACATTTATTGGAATTCCTATTTTAGGAAGTTCAAAATTTATTTCTTTTAATGAAATTTAAAAAAAAACTACTCTGTATAATATATACTAATGAATAATAAATATACAAATAAAACAAGTAAAAAATAAACATTTTTTACCAAAATAGAGCACAAAAACTGTCTGTGACAGGAAGGAATTACACGTTTCACGTCCCTGTAATTAAGTCACCGGTCCTATAAATGAACATATCTGGGAGGTCCCCCTAGTACTTTGAATTATCATTGAAAGTCAGTACATGATTTTAAACATGAAAAAGTAAAAGAAGAATGCCTGTGACAGTCTTATAAAAAATCAGTAAAAAATTGCACATTTTTTGAAAAATTCCCATTACTATTTATTGATTTTATGTTTTAAAACTCTACCATTGGAAGGTTTAAAATGAGTTTATAGTTAATGTTTGTTTTTCAAGGATTGCGGTCTATGAATGTTGGTGTACAATGTGAAGCTGTGGTAAAATTTCCAAGACTGTTTGAAAAATATCCATTCCCCATTCTGATTAACTCTGCATTTCTTAGACTGGCTGATGTCTTTAGAGCTGGGTAAGTAATAATAATTGTTCTAGTTGAATTCATTAAAGTGACATTATACCCAACCAAGCGTAAATGGTGGGTGTACAGGTCAAAGTCAAAAATCACTTTCCATTTTGCCAAAATTGTTAACAGTTTTATAGTCTAGTTAAAAACCAGTGTGACAAACAGAAAATTCTATAAAATTTAAAGAATTTAATATTCTTTGTAATGTATCATTAATATTTAATTGGTAAAACAAATCGGAGGGTCTTTTATATTTCAGGCAGTTGTTAAAGTTTATTCTAAACTTTTTTTCATTATCAATTATTGGTTAATGACCATTATAATAGAAGATATTTTTAAATATATTGTCAACCTTTTTAAATAAAAAGCCAATTCTGCTCATCACAACAACAAAAACATGAGCATAATGTCAGTTTAAATAAACATTTATTATCCCACGCCGATGGAATCAGGAGGGGGATATAGTTTTGGTGTTGTCCGTCTGTCCTTCCGTCTGTTCATCCGTCCGTCCGAATTTCGTTTCCGGACTAGTTCTCTGCAACTACTGGCTGGAATTCAACGAAACTTTATGGGAATCATCAATATCAAAAGGAGATGCGCATATCGTCGGCTTGTTCCGGTCCGACAATTTAACTCAGAGTTATGGCCCTTGATTAGTAATGTAGTATGCATATAGAGTAAAAATCGTTTCCGCACTACTTCTCTGCAACTGCTGGCTGGAATTCATCGAAACTTTATGGGAACCTTCAATACCAAGAGGAGATGCGCATATCGTCAGCTTGTTTGGGTCCGACAATTTAACTCAGAGTTATGGCTCATGATTAGTTATGCAGTATGCATATAGAGCAAAAATCATTTCCGCGCTACTTCTCTGCAACTACTGGCTGGAATTCAACAAAACTTTATGGGAACCTTCAATACCAAGAGAAGATACGCATATCATTGCCTTGTTGGGGTCAGACATTTTAACTCAGAGTTATGGCCCTTGATTATTTATGCAGTATGCATATAGACAAATATTCGTTTCTGCGCTACTTCTCTCCAACTACAGGCTGGAATTCAATGAAACTTTATTGGAACCTTCAATACCAAGAGGAGATGGGCATATCGTCGCCTTGTTAGGGTTAGACATTTTAACTTAGAGTTATGGCCCTTGATAACTTATGCAGTATACAACCAGAGCAAGAATCGTTTCCGGGCTAATTTTCTGTAACTACTGGCTGGAATTCAATGAAACTTTATGGGATATGAAGAGGAGATGTGCATATAGTCGCCTTGTTCCTGTCAGACACTTATAACTCAGATTTATGGCCCTTGATTACTTATGCAGTATGCATACATCACATTGGCATTTCCAGATATTACTATTTAACACAGAGTTATGGCTCTGTTATTGCCCTGAATATTTATCAAGTTCAAAGAATATTACTGTTTATGCCATGATAAATATATAAATAAAGCCTTATGTCTTCAGTTGTTGTGTTAGTAATAACCAGTACTCGGCGGGGGATATAAATTCAATGAATTTGCTTGTTTTGTCTTAAAATGATGGTATACTTATATAACAGTTTTAGAATAATGTTGTTTTTGTTTTTTTCTGTTCAATTTACTTTACTGTGCTCAAATATTGTTGCCAAATGTTTTCTTTTTCCAATCTTTACTAAAAAAATTCTTTTTCATTACTTAATTATATTTCTCTACATTATTCTTGAACTGTTCAATCATCAATTTAAATACTAAGTACTGTTTTAATAAATGTATGATGACATTTTTATTTGTTTTGCAGTTTTCAAAATGCAATATATATATAATGCTCTAAAAGTTATTTTAAATGAATACATGTACATTACTATCATAGATGTACATTACTATCATATTGAGATGTAAATGATTATGATTATGCCATTATTATAGTAATATCTTTTCAATTAATAGTCAAAGTTACAATGTTCTGTCTTTAATATTTTAAAATTACAATCTAGAAATGAAATTTATTTGTTACTTCAAATGTGTATTATATATTGTTTTGTTTTTCTGAATCATGCTTAAAACCTTGTCATATATCAACCGTAATAGTTATATTACAGTGAAACATATTGAATTTCATTGCCTATAATAATTTATTTGCTTTTATTTTGCTTTTTAGAAATAATTTTATACGATGGTGTATTCTGCGTGTCACTCAGGAAAGTGAGAAACATCTGGATAAGATCCTCAATGTAGATGAATTTATGAGAAGGGTATTCACTGTATATCATAGCAATGATCCAATAGCAAGGGCAATAACTCTGAGGTATCATCATCAACATTGCATTTATAAGTAAAACTCTCAATTACCTGTTTATATTTAAGGTTTTTACCATAATTATGATGATGGACATTTTGGTAAATGAGCATTTTAAATGAAGATGTCATAGTTTCTTAGCAGGTCAAAGGAAATATATCAGTATCAAACTGAAAACAAAGCTGTCTGTAACACAATAATCATTATAGTTTAAATGCCAGTATATTAATGAACATGTACCTGCTTTGATTAAGAAGAATGAAATTTCCCAAATGCTGATTGCCTTTTGCAACTACAATGTAGATACCTTTTATACCTTTGTATGACAACCAAGATTTGTGTCCTTGAATGGCAGTTTTCAGACCAATGGTAATCTATGATTCCAGATCCCAATAATATTGCTTAATTTGTGAAAATGAAACTTGAAGAATATTCTTTGTATTAAAAACAGTTATTCACTGTAAGGATGTAGATGGTACAGTGTCTTAGCTGTAACTAGCATTTGATGTAATTCTTATAGGTCTATTTCTCATATTGAACTTACCATTTACATCTTGCATTTTTCCAACAACAAATATATTAAAATATATTAAAATTGACTATATTCAAAGTAATCTGTTGACCTTATCAACCCTTAAAGCAAAGGATTTTCCTATATTTCATAATTAACTAACTATATTTCATAATGACTTAGGACCCTGGGTAACATTTCCTTGATTATAGCCGAGCGTAAAAACATTCACCACAGTATTACTGTTAGCCTGGATTCCAATGACGCTGTTGAGGTGAAGGCGGCCATATTTGCAGCACAAAAATTTTCGGAACAATCCAGGTAAGTATCTGCATTTTAACTCATTACTCACTGAAAGGTTTTCATTTGAAACTTTCCACAAGTTCTTTGGGATTGTAACCCCCTTTGCATTATGATTGAATCATACCAACTTAAAAATTCCTTCATTTTCAAGGCTTTTTAAAGGATCAAATACTAGGAACAGTAAAATGACCAATATATATTGCAATTACTATAACTGTCAAATATTGTTGTTTTTAGAAAACCGTGTTGTTTTTAGAAACACTTTGCATACTTATCAGTTTAGTAACAAAATACTGAATCCATATCAAATTCAAGCATTAAACAGGACACAGTTATATAGTTACAGATTGATTACAATATTGAAAATACCGTAAGACAATATTGATATGAGCTGGAGGCTTTTGTACGTGAAACCTTGTTTTCTACATACATGTACAACAATGTTTGACAGTCATAGTTCTGACAATGATGGTACTTATGATAATATGTCAGTCATAATATTTGCATAGCAAATATACAGAGTGGTCTCGTAAAATCATAGTGTACATGTTTGGGGTTGTGACTTTTATTTTTTGTTGTATGTGTATCACTTATAGTATCCTTACATAATGTTTAAAGGCCTGCTGACACTTAATAAGGACAAACATATTCACAATGTATGTATTTAATTTATATGATTTGTGAAAAACAAAATTTAAGATATAAATTATGTGTTATTGTTGGACTTTTAATGTTGTTTTTTTTAGGTATAATGTACAGTGATAATTTTGAAAGTTTATGTCATTTGGGATTATTCTAATGATTTTCTGCAGAATAATTTTATATGTTAAGAATTAGATAAAAGAAAAAGAGATATAAAAAAGTGCAATTTATGAGCATCACTGTGTTAATGGATTGTATACATGTATCTGGGTGTAATGAATTACTTTATCACATACCCGTGCCGATTTTGCGATTCCGTAAAAATGGTATTGTACTTCCGTGCATGTATTGTGATGTAACATCATTTGCTGTATAATAATACAAACATAGTTTAAAGACTCGCTTAATGTTAGCATTACACTATATAGGCTTGTCAATGAAAAATGTCTCCTTTTCACTTTAAATGTTCTTTTTTTGTATATGATAAATAGAACATTAAATTTGTGTAAGTTCATTATTGAATTTATTGAACTTGTTGAATAATGTAATTTATGATTGCAAGAGGCTCATATAATATAATTTTATCCATTGAACTCGTTCAATAAATTCAGTATTTAACTAACACTCATTCAATATCCTCTATTTATGTTACAATATGTATATTTTATAGGGTATTTGCTGCAAACATATGTGACAAGATATCAGAAATGATTCATAGTGTAGCTACCCCTGTTAAATTGAAGTTATCATTGATACCAGTTCTTCAGTACATGCACCATGATGTTACTATGGCAACAAAGGTATGTAAAACTCAAAGATATTGTAATTATATAAATATAGTGGGTTTTTTTATAGTTTGTGAATTCATTCAATGTTGCCTTGGAAAATGAAATGTCAAGTAAGTACAATAAGAAGGAGAGTTAGGTCTTCAGACTTCTGATAAATAATTTCACATCTTGGACCTGACATAAATTATACATTTTATGTTATACATGTTGTTGTGTAAACACTTAATAAACAAAAGATTGCACTGGTTCTTCAATAACGTCGTTTAATTTTTGATAACCGGAAGTCAACTCATATAATGATGTCAATACAATAACATATAAAAAGGCGCATCACTCTAAACGTGACGCTTATATTGGTGCAGTACATGCATAGGAACGTAACATAATTATGTAGTTTTATTGAAGGCAAAATGGATGATGATATTTAATCTTCACCACATGTTCATGTGAAGAAGTTCAATTTGTTATTGACATGTAAATTGAAGAAGTGGCTCTGATTTTATTATTTTACTTAGATACGTTTGTGAAATCCTTAAATGATGCTTAGCTTAATGAACATTCAAACTAACATAGTTTCTATCAAAGGTGGGTTTTTTTCCTAACAATAATGATATAACAATGGTTCAGCTATATTTCAATCCCACGACATGAACCATGCAGTAAGTCATATTTTAATTGTTGCAGGCCAGAAATGTTTGCTCAGCATTACTGTCGAGCTATCCAGCAGAAATGTTCATGGTGCAGACACTGAGAACTATGTCACACCTGGCAATATTATCTCTTATAGATGTACCCACACAGGTAAGTCCATTTGGCATGTACCAAGCAACTGTTTTTCTAATTGTCAAGCACTTATGCTGAGAAGTTAGATTCTCTTAATGTCAAGCACTTATACGGAAGAGTCAGATTCTCTTAATTGATTCACACCCTGTCTATCGGCTAAGTTTTTAAAGGTATATGAAGAAATCTATATCCAATTAGATATCTTCTCTATAGAGGTAACATTTCCCACCCAAACTTCCTTCCTCATACTGTCCCCTCTTTGATAACAATAATTAGATTAGTTTATACAAATTTATTTTAGCTGATTGTATTTGAAACTTTAAGCTTATTGAAACACTCTTGAATCTGTTCCTGGAACCCACCAGTACTTAGCAATGAATGTAAAGTTTCTTGCTCAAGGAAACTACAGGTTGCCGCTGACAGGGTTTGAACCCATGCAGTCAGCAATTCTTAGATTACTAGTCCAATGCGTTAACCACTCGGCCATGCCGCCACCTGAAGTAATTAAGTAGGCTACCTATGTAGATTTGTATGAAGATTTAAGTTAGCAGTACAATTAAAGTTCAGAGATTGTAAAAGATAAAAGGTTATTTTTAAACGGTTTTGTAATTATCATCAACATTTATAACAAACCTCGTTGCATAAAGTATAATATAGAATACCATTTCTTATATTTGTCATGTTTATTTTCCTAATATCTTGTATACTCATCTACATGTATTGTTTGGACCATTCTCAATGAAGAGTGGAAAATTGTTTAATGGTTGTTGATAAGTCTTTAAAACATTTTAATCAATTCAGGAAATGAACTTCAACATAGGGATATGTTTCTGTCTTACAATTCTTGTAAATGCAGATTATTCATGTACCAAGTTTATCTGTTTCAGAGCAACATCTTCATGTTTATCTCTTTCAAATTATAACTACATCATCTTCATGTTTATCTCTTTCAAATTGTAACTACATCATCTTCATGTTTATCTCTTTCAAATTATAACTACATCATCTTCATGTTTATCTCTTTCAAATTATAACTACATCATCTTCATGTTTATCTCTTTCAAATTGTAACTACATCATCTTCATGTTTATCTCTTTCAAATTGTAACTACATCATCTTCATGTTTTTCTGTTTTAGATGTCTTTTATCAGCATCTTCTTATATGTCTGTTTCAGATAGATTAATTACTTCATCATCTTCATGTTTATCTGTTTTAGATGTCTTATATCAGCATCTTCTTATGTGTCTGTTTCAAGTAGATTTATTACTACAAAATCTTCATGTTTATCTGTTTCAAATTGATTAGCTACTTCTACATCTTCATGTTTAATTGTTTCAGATTGATTTGTTACTATAACATCTTCATGTTTATCTATTTCAGATTGATTTGTTACTACAACATCTTCATGTAGACAGCAGACGTAATGTGAACATTGTTTGTCTGCAGGAATTAAAGAAGCTAGCTGTAAAAACATCGCACCTGTGGACATACCAACAAATACAGGTTTACTTACTGTTCAGCTATGTCATTTTTTAGAAATGTTGTATAGAGCTCAATATTATCTGATTTATGCTATATGTCAAACTTCAGCTTGATAATTCTTGTAATGAGAGTTGTATGTAGTAAGGGAAATCTGTGTTAAGATGTCAACTGTGTTTAGAGACTTAATGTAATTAAAAACTTAGAAGGTCTATCATCAGTTTACTAATGTCATGTACAATTGTGGTTTGATAATATCTATGTATACATTGTATATATAAGCACACAATATTGGCTACTTACATTAACAAATTCATGAAAGGTATATTTCTACAATTCACTATTAGATTCTTACTGTATTTAAGATTTATAATATTACAGGCAGTATGTGAGTTTATACAAAATTCTACATACATCGGTCTGAAGACAGGTGCTGTAGATGTACTAGTCTCACTGTCTAAAGCTGTTACCTTCAAAATTGTCTTTGCTAAACAAGGTTAGTATACAACTTTTCTAAGAACTTTTTATAGTCTCATATTTGTGACTTGTGACATAGACACTCATTGACTTGGATCACCGACTTAACTGAATTTAGTTCAAATCTCACAATAGAGGTTGAATTTGTTAATGTTAAGAGGGTGCCCAGGTAGGTGATGGATGGTTGGTGTACTTTATATGTTACATGTTTAAGCTTGAAATAAATTCATGGAGGAAACTTGAGCGGCCATCCTTCAGCTGTAAAACTTGAAATATTTGTTTATGTGACTTTCTACTCGCCACATTGTCTGATACTTTTATGGGAGTCTTTATCTGAGTATATACTTTAATGTATGTTTGTCAGTTTGTCTACAAACTGTTCATATAACTTGATCATTTCAGATTTCCATCGCAGCTTACTGGATGTTTGTAATCTATGTTATGTACATGACAACCCTGTTCTGATGTCAAAGTTGACGGAATTCTACACAAATATTGTTATTTCATACAGTAAAACAAGTAAGTTTATATTCATGAAGCATTGTGTTTTTAAAGGGTATAAAGCTATATCCTATGAAATACTTTTAACATCTATATAAACAGTAAAATAGTGATGTTCTTATGATATTATGGTCAATTCTCAAAAGAGTTGTTATATACAGTACGACAGTTTAATGGTGACAGCACAAGGGTGACAACATGTCAGTACTATGGACTGTCACCATCGTACTGTCGTGTTTCTCCATCCTACTGTCGTATTGTAACCATCGTACTGTGGCATTGTCACTATCGTACTGTCATTATTGAACTTTTGTGCTGTCACCATCGTACTGTCATGTTTTGCGCTTACAATTCTCAGAGAAAACGCGCTGTCTGTAACGGAACATCATAGTTTGATGTATTCTTTTTCAAAATAACAGAAAATATTTTTGCAGCAGATATATAGCTTTATACACTTTAATTAATAATTTATATCATATACTATAGATTCGTTTCCTAAAATTTTGAGAGAAGAAGTTGTTAATTTCTTGTTGACAACAAATCTTAATTTAAACAGACACTAGGCAGATTTAAGAGATTATTTTTGGGAGACATATTGATTTTGCCTTCGCCGTCTGTTCAGGCTATTTAAGAGAAGTAGGGGGCCATCTAACTGTAAACAGAACAAAAGAGAACAATAGAGTTCATTCCGTAACAATAGAATAAGGGGTCATTGGCCCTCTATTAAACAAAAGAAAATAACAAAAGAAATGGCCCTTTAGTCAATTTAATTGACACGTCCATCCGTCCGGTTGTCCGTCCATCTGCATTAAGCTTGTATGCCCTTCACAGGTCAAACTACTGGTGGGATTTCAACCAAACTTTACAGGAGTGATCAGTACCATCCCTAGTTGTACACAATACCGGCACATTCCACTTCGCTGCACAAAATGGCCACCAGAGCTAAAAATAGAAAAATCTTGTCCGGCCTTCACAGGTCAAACTACTTGTGGGATTTCAACCAAACTTTACAGGAGTGATCAGTACCATCCCTAGTTGTGCACATAACAGGTACGTTCTGCTTCGCTGCACAAAATGGCCGCCAGAGCTAAAAATAAATAATTCTTGTCAGGCCTTCACAGGTCAAACTTCTGGTGGGATTTCAACCAGTCTTTACAGGAGTGATCAGTACCAGTCCTAGTTGTGCACATCACTGTCACGTTCCGCTTTGCTGCACAAATTGGCCGCCAGAGCTAAAAATAGAAAAATCTTGTCCGGCCTTTACAGGTCAAACTACTAGTGGGATTTCAACCAAACTTTACAGGAGTGATCAGTACCATCCCTAGTTGTGCACTTCACCGGCATGTTATGCTTTGCTGCACAAAATGGCTGCTGCACAAAATGGCTGTCAGAGCTATAAATAAAAAAATCTTGTCTGGCTTTCACAGGTCAAGCTACTGGTGGGATTTCAATGAAACTGGACATGAGTGATCATACATAGTTTTGGGAGACATATGTTTTTGTGACAAAAAACCCTTCTAGTTTTTTCTTAAATACATGTACTTAACACTGAAATACATGTGTTAAAATGTTGCATTACTCAAACAATTAATGATGGTATAGTTGATGATCAATTAATGATGGTATAGTTGGGAAAGCATGCAGTATTCTTCTTGAAATGTTGATAAAGCTTTTTTGATAAGAAAGTGGAGAATATTGTATTTAAGATGTTTTATATATAGAAGGGACAGAGTACTGGTGTGGCCAGAATCTGGTTGATAATGTAGTGACGGCTATACAAACACATATTATGGTGCTTATAACGGATACACAAGATACTAAACCACTTAAGGTGAGCACAGGTACATTTGAGCCATGTCATGACAAAAATCAACATAGTGCGTTTGCGACCAGCATGGATCCAGACCAGCCAGCGCATCCACGCAGTCTGATCAGGACCCATGCTGTTCGCTTACAAACTCTATTACAAGTACAGAAACTGATAGCGAACAGCATGGAGTCTGGATCCATGCTGGTCGCAAACACATTATGTTGGTTTTGTCGTGACACGGCTCATTTATAGTGTACTTTAAGCGTTAAATATTCGTATATTTCCCTTTGTTTTCAATATTAGGCTATTGTAACAAAGTGTTTTCTATATTCAGCTATGTCAGCACTTTCTAATTTTATTCCATTGGTTACCATTGCTGGTTAAACTTTTCAACTGACCTTTTTGGTTAAGTTTTTGTTTAACTTCAACACTAGCCGTGCTGTTATACCAGTACTGAACAAAGTGGAGGGCGTTGCCCCTCTGACAGCATTGTTTCATTACTATGTTTTCTATTGTTAACTCTATTTGAAGTAAACTTTCAATATTTAGCAGTGTCTTCACCATGTTTTCTATATCTCATGTTTTCTAAATGCAGCTACTTTTATTTATGTCAACAATTGTGTTTTCTATATTCAGCTATGTTTACGGTGTGCTGTAGAACTGAGCAAACATCAACCAAAGGTTGCGGACACATTTGTTACCTGTATTGCTAGTCTCTTGTCGGAATCACAAGGTAATTTACGTAGTAAATTGTTGCAGTCATATATCAGGTAGAAATGTTATATTGTAGCTATTGTTGGCTGATGAGTATGTCAGTATGTTTGCTTGTTATAAGAAAGGATAATATGGTTAGATGTATGGATGCAACAATATGTACAATTATGTATTGTGATATCTTGTGATATAGTCAGTCTGTATATTGTAATACATGTACATTTATTGTTATAAAAAACTTTATGATACTGCATGTTTGTTATGTCGTTTTTCATTGGATAACTTTTATATTTCCAAACAACCATTTATGAAGTGTCGTATAACCTGTCAAAAATCATTATAACTAATAATATAAAACTGAAACTACCATTCACTTTAGAAATGTCAAAAGCTGTATGAACAATGGATAACATTTTTTATTTAAACATGTTTGAAAGGTAAATGTTGATATCACTTAAAGTCTAAATCAAACAATAAAACATAATGATGGTTATATACAAAGTTTAAGTGCTTGAAAATATTGGAATATACCTACTTATACTTTGATAAAATATGTTAGAGAATATTGTGGTTCAAAGGTTCCTACCATGGTATTTGTTGCCAGATTCTGGGTTGTTGTATACCAGCTTATTGTCAGACAACTAGTTTGATGAGTCAAGCAACAATTGGCATCAGTATTTAAATCACTTGATAGAAAACGATTACTATATACTTTAGATCTACAAGCATTTAAAAAATAAATTCCAGTTCTCGCCCCTGCAATCGTTATTGTATGAAATACTCACAAAGGACATTATTTTCTGTAATAAGATTGTCATGATTTTAAGTTTGTAGATTGTACACGCTTCTCACTCAGTTGACTGGCTTTTGCATTTTTTTTGAATGCAGAGGATTTTGAAATTTTGAATGCAAATAAAGATCAAATTTTCTGACTGTCAGTGATTGGTGGAATTTGAGTTTGTTAGGCTCATACCATTGAGTTTTAAACATGACAATTGACCACAACTGTTCTATCATACATGTCCTTGTTTCCTATTTTGTAAAATAAAGTTTTTTAAGGTATGTACAATGTTGGTATAAAACTAATATTATGTGTTATGTATGTGTTTTGTCTTTTAATCAAGATTAGGCATAAAAGATCATCAGGTCTTCTTAACTCTATATACTGCAAAACGTATAACTTTTGGGGAACTAATTTTAATGGTTTTTTTTATTTATAGGTCAATACTTAAAATTCAAGATCCAAAGAAATTTCATTTTGTCTGCTGTAAGATTATTTTGCATTACAATATTTGTATTTTACTTTTTGCAAGAATAGACAATCTATGAATTAAAAAAAAAAAACGTAATAAAATGTCCTTGTGATAAATCCACAATTGTTTTTATGCCCGCGACATTATGTTAATTTTCAGTACTGAAACTGAAATTTTAGCAGAGTATATACATGTAATATAAACAGCTTAACAAATACTTGTACAGGTCAATCAGATGCAGCATTGTGTGAAAGTTTGGCTGCTATAGGATCTCTCAACCAATCATTACTGCCGAAATCTGTGGTACCCCAACTACTTGGAGTCTTACAGAATTCTCTTAATGCAGGCCTGGAACCACATCAGATGCAGGTAAAGATATGAAAGTAATTCAAGATTTAATTGATGATTTTTTTGCAGAGAGTTGTAAAAGATGAAATTAGTTTCATTCTTACACAAATTTCATATTTTTTATATTGTACTTCGAACAGATGTTGTGCAAGTTGCTATGCTATCTGAGAATATACATGCAGTAGTAAAGACAAACTATATGTTAAGATAAAAGCTGTCTTTGTTTGGTTTTACTGATCCATTGTTACTACCAGTTAACCTTATACATGCCATAACATCCTCGACAATGGGTATCGTCGCGGAAATAATGCATCTGTCCAAACATTTTGGTTGCTGAACAATGCCCTACCGCCCACCCACCTCCAAATGAAAAGTATCCTGAAAATTTGCTTAAAAAATTATGGCCTGTATGGTTAACCTTATATTGCTCCTATAACTTTTCACCTGCTGAAATTGTTAAATGGACTTGTCCAGCTTAAATTTTATGGAAATGTCCATTGTCAATTTTAGGGATATCAGGATGATATTAAAAATTAGTCAGCCAACAGGTATAAGGCCTTGTCAGACTATACTGGTTGCAAAAACCTAATTACTTTTGGTCCAAAAAGGTGCATTGAATAATTCTTTATGTGAGAAATATTTTAGCTCAATTAGGGGTTTATAATTCGCTCTTGCCTGAAATATTACACAGTATGAAATAATACACAAAGGTACTACTTTTTTTATTCTTGCTTATTGCAATGATTTACATGTATATGCACTTTGATAACAATTTTCAGCTAAAAGTCAAGTGGTTTTTCTCATATATTAATTTTACACTTGGGAATTAGATCTAGGATCTGGCTTTTGGAAATGATTTTTTAATTTGAAAAGCATTTGGTATGTTGCAAATGATTTTGGTAAGCATTTGGTATTAACAAACTAGTTTTTCAATTTTATGTTGGAAATACTTATGTTTTTGTTTTTGTGAAATGATTTTGACCGTGATATTATTTCAGGTGTATTTATGCACAGTACTGTTTCAAGTGGCAAGTGGTACTGCTATCCCTGTAGATGTTGAGGGTTTAATCTTGTCATGTACAGAAAGATCTGATCCTTGGCTAGCTTACAAGACCGCTAGACAGGCACTGAGATATGGTCAGTGTGGAATAGCAGAAAAGATATTCCAGGCTTTGGCTAAAAAAGTAAGTAATAATTCCAACATTCTTCACCAATTGTAATATTCTGAGGTCAAAACCTCAGTTCACCAATTGTTTTGTTTTGAGTTCAAAACTTTATTTCACCAATTTGAATGTTTTGTGATCAAAACTTTATTTCACCAATTGTTATGTTTTGTGATCAAAACTTTGTTTCACCAGTTGTAATGTTTTGTGATCAAAACTTTATTTCACCAATTGGAATGTTTTGTGATCAAAACTTTATTTCACCAATTGGAATGTTTTGTGATCAAAACTTTATTTCACCAATTGGAATGTTTTGTGATCAAAACTTTATTTCACCCATTATGTTGATCAATCAAAAAACTTGTTGCACGTATTGAAATTTGAGGAGCAAACATGTGCTCTTTTTTTGGGACTAGTATACTAGATTTTCAGTATCAACAACTAGAAATTGGCAGCAAACACTACCCATCAGTTTATATTTTGGTGACATACTGCCCATTTTTGCAGACTGGTTGGCTCTTTACTTGTAACATAGGCTAGTTAGTATTTCTGATTTCATTGCTAAACTTGCTTGAATCATTTACAGTTTCCTCGTTTTGTACAGGTATCATCAGAACATTTTTATTTCTGGCTGATTGGACTACATGAGATAACTCTAGGTGAAAAATGTCTACATGTTGACACTGGTAGTGTAATAGCAAAACTACAACAAGCTCTCTCATTCTACCATAAAGGTCTTACTTCATTAAAGGTATGGCTCTTTGCTATGTAATGTTATAATAACTTATAAAGATATATTATGCTCAAATTTGATATTTGAAAATACAGATAGTTAAAGTCTCTTATCAATTGTAACATAATCATCTTTTGAGTACACACAGAGAAGATATGTTACGTTTTTACTATACACACGAAAGGGAAAGGCAGTAGGAGGCAGTAGGAACATATAGTGTCATTAAAAAGCAAATTGACCAGCTACAAAAACATACGCTAAGCATTCTGTTACACAAATTAGACCAGAGACATAGATAACAGAGATTGGCAACTTCCTAGCTAGTAAAGATATCATGCGTGCTTGCTAAACTTAAAACTTGTAGCAAGTAAAACTTATTGACAAGATATCAAAATCAGTAAAATAATACATTTCCTGAAAGCTTATGCATTTGTCTATGGCTGCTGGTAAAAACATTTACAGTTCCTATTTAAATAAATAATACATCAATTTTTAAAGAGAACTACATATTAATTTTTGTTACAAATCTATTCATATGACGAAAAAACAGGCTCACTGTTTTGCTATGTTTTTCTAAGTGAAAGACATGGAAAGTCATCAATATTTTAACATGCAGCAATAGATAAAAGATTTAACTTTCAAATGGTGTATTATATAAAAGGATCAAATATACATCCATTAATTTTTTTTGATATGCATAAGTGATATTTCAATGGAGTATATATAGTAGCTGCTTATCTCTGTTATCTACATCTCTGATTAGACATATTCAGTAAGAAATTCCTAGATTTCAATAAATTTCTACAATTAAAGTTTTTTTACCAAAAGATCAGCATAGTATATCTTTTAGCTATAGCAAGCATTTTGCTTGAAATGTTTTTAAATAGGCTTGATGAAACAAGCTATTTCTTACTTTAATAATGAAGTTGTACAACTTCATGTGAAGAAGCTAAGTAGCAACCAAACAAAAGGTTGATAGGTTGTGAAATAATGCATGTATGGAATAATAAGGTCTTATTTAATTCAGCAGAAAAGTAACTATATGACCTTGAGAGTGTTGCTGTAATTTAAATATCCCTATTCCCACAAAAAGAATAAAATCAATGTTTTCAATTACACTAGACCTTTGGGATTGCAGCTTTTCATTCTCATGATTCGTAAGGCAACAAGATATTTGTCAAAAATCCTAGGTCAAATATTAAAGATCACAGATATAATTGATCCGCGCAATGACAAAACCATTATAAAGCTTTTGCGACCAGCATGGATCCAGACCAGTCTGCACATCAAACCCTATTACAAGTAGAGAAACTGATAGCGAACAGCATGGATCCTGATCAGACTGCCCGGATGGGCAAGCTGGTCTGGATCCATGCTGGTTGCAAATGCTCTATGTTGGTTTTGTTGTGACAGGGCTCAGATATATCATAGTAAGAGTATTGTATTTCAGGCTGCTGTGGTGCCAAGCTTCCCTCTACAGTTTCAATCAGAGTATATACAGTTACGAGCCTCCCTCCTTGACGTACACACACAATTGTTGCGTACATGTAACACATTTAAGACATGTCCCCCTCCTGCCATCGCAGCAGCACAGGCTGTTGCCAAGGGGCAGGAACTCACTAAATGTGAACATACTGTTACACAGGTAATATATTATTACAACTTTGTCATCATTTTATTTTTCATGAATTACGGAACGTCGGTGGTTCTACTCATGTGCCTTATCGTGCCTGAAATAATGCATGACGGGGCACCTGAGGTCTTCCTCCACCAGTAAAGCTGGAACGTCACGATATGACCTATATTGTGTCAATGTGACGTAAAACCCAATCAAACAAACAAACATTTTCATGGAAATTTTGTAATAGATATGAATCTGTTTAATCATATTAAATATCTTAATTACTTTTAAACTATTAGTAATTTTTTCAGATGTTTTGAATCGTTGTATCATACACAGAATGTTAAATTACTGGAATGAAAATTAACAAAAAAGATTTGTAATTCTTGTTAAATTTGTGTTTATATGTATGAACAGAAAATGCAGCATTCATAGTATAATTTATTGCCATTAACCAGGCAAAACATAAAAATACTATAGTTAAATTTTTGTTTACATGTATTTAGACATGCACTGTATAATAATGGAAATATAGGTCTAGATTTGTAACAAGTGTGCCTTAGAATTGATTTTTGAATTTGTTTTCAGCTTGGTAAGACTGCCAGTGATTATGAAAAGATAAGTGAAAGACTGGCTGCCCTATATCAACAGTCATTTGATGCTGACCCAGCTTCCTTACAAAATATACAACAGTATCCTTTCTTAAACTCTGATCTATATATGTACATTATCCAGAAAATACCTACCATTAATCTGTAATTTACATAGGAAATCCCACTCATTAATCTAATATTATTTTGAATGTCCCACTCATTTATCTGAACATTATGTAGAAAATCCCACTTATGAATATGTACATTATCTAGAATTCTATCACGACCCGCATTTTTCCACATTGAACATAGAAGAACCGAAAGTGTGTGTTATTATGCAATAAAATCACAGTTTGATGTTCTATATTTAGACATGTGACGTAATCATTATACACGTGACGTAACCTCTAAAAATGTGACGCGCTGAAAATAAGTACGGAAACAAATCAGGCGCAATTTAAGTTAATATCAGGTACGGCAGCATTTTTTGTTGATATCGTGTTAGAATCGAAATAATATATCCAAATCAGTGATTTTATCGCTTGATAACATCACTGTTAGGGTTTGTCGTTCGGATGCGCATTATTATATCACTCAGGCTACGCCCTTGTGATATAATTCCTCGCATCCCAACTCCAAACAGTGATGTTATTGAGCGATAAAATCACTGTTTGGGATATATTATTTCTTAAATCTGTACATTATCTCAAAAATCCCACTCATTAATCTGTGCTTATCTTAAAAAATCCAACTTATAATCTAACAGTATCTAGAAAATCCCTTTTTTGTCCTTTTGTCCACTACAGTTGTCTTGAATGATGTATGTGGAATACTTGGCAAATTTGCCGTACAGTTACATAGGGAAAAGATAAGTTGGCTTACTCACTAAACCGTGAGTAAATCAATTATTTTCTATTTTCAAATACTTCTAAACAACAACAAGAAACATTATAGGTTTAGGTCGTTGTATTTGACAGAATTATTACATTTCAAGAACAATAATTTCTCTAGTCTATTGTAAAAACATCTGCTGGAATGAGGGCTGTCTCGAATTTCGGCGTAGTCATGATGAAATCAACTGAAAACATCTGAAACTAAGAAAAGACTGTAAAAATAAAACGAAACATAAATAGGGTGGGTGGGACGGGAATATGTATGCTTTCTTCTGTCATTTTTCGAAATGTATTCTGTCAAATACAGACCTCGAGTGACGCTTTTACACATATACTCCCTTATAAACAGTACACGCACGTGAAAATCGTTCAAAATTATAAAGGAATGTGCAACAGAGTAAATCGAATTAACGTAAAATCATAAACATTTGCGATATATATAACAGATACCATATACTGTGTATTGCCAGTGGTTCTACTCCTTTGTACCTGAAAAAAATGCATGGATGGGCACCTGAGGTCTTCCTCCACCATTAAAGCTGTCGCCAAATGACATTTACAGTGTAGTGTGACATATAGCCATACCCCTACCCCCTCCCCCCCAAACAATAAATAAATAAAATGAAATGGAAATGAATCACTGCTTATTAGTTTATATCAACATTAACACATGACTTCATTGTATTGAATATACATGCAGCAAATACATATATTATTATTCTTAAATCTTTGAAGAAACTCTGAATTGTAAGAGATACAGAATCATTGAAGGAATGAAGTGTTTTATATAGTACATGTTCCTTAATTACATAACTTAGATTACAAACAAGCTGTGAATTAATGAAACTTGCAATCTCTTCTATTGTTCAAAATGGACATGATGGGTATAATTAAATTTATTTACAGACAGACAATTTTCTTTATAAAAGTTTAAAAGTTCTTAGATTAATGACTTGCACCAGCTTTCAACCAATACAGACTTATTATATAAGGAATTACGGGGCATCTGTGGCGGAGTGGTTAAGGGCGTCGACTTCAGACCACTTGCCCCTCACCACTGTGGGTTCGAATCCCAACAGGGACTTTGGATTCTTTCATGTGAGGAAGCTATCCAGCTAGCTTATGGAACGTCGGTGGTTCTACTCAGGTGCCTGTTTGTGCCTGAAATAATGCACAGAAGGGCATCTGAGGTCTTCCTCCACCAGTAAAGCTGGAACGTCGCCATATGACCTATACTGTGTTGGTGTGACGTAAAACCCAATCAAACAAACAAACAAACTGCAGCTCCATTTAAATGATAAGATACAACTGCTCAATTTGTTGATTTTTTCATCAAGTTAAGGACGTTTTCCGGAGTTTTCATATAGACATATAGGCAAAATTAAAACTGTTTAATTGAATTTTTTTTTTAGCTTAAAATGTTTCTGTTATCATATTCTAACAGCATGCCAAGTTTAAAGAAATTCTATAGAATTGTTTTCATTTTGCCAATATGTTTATATGAAAACTCCGGAAAACGTCCTTAATCCATAAATTTGATAAATATATATTTGTTTCTTTGTGCCCTCACCAAAAATATATTGTATGTAAAGAGATTTCATGATAAAGACAGCATGAAAGACAGTGCTAAATGACAAGTGCATTAATGACAAACAAACCTTTAGTGAATCTGATTGAAATATAGGAAAATAGACACTGAAGTTTCCCATTATAAGACAGAAATAAATATTGCAAATGTTTAACCTCTTTATTGCCAGCATTGCATCTGTTATACCACTTCTGATTGTTGAAATATTTTATATCATTTTGAATATTCATGTAATATACTTTAAATCATGAAAAATTATAAAAAATATTGCAATTTTAGTTACATTCTTATTTCAGTCAAGCATTGCTGGCAGATAAAATGGTGCTTGGTGTAGGGGAGGTTACTGGAGACAAGTTTAAACAGCTTCTTAATACAGTTCATACAGAGTTAGCTACCTTACTGCGGACAGAGGGCACTGAAGTCATTTCACATAATGTAATGAGATTTGTTTGGTCTGAAATTTTAACCTGCCCAATTTTCAAACATTATTCAGTGGTTTCAGTATACTTTTTTAAGACCGAACGCTGCATTCTACCACTGAGCTATATTGCCTTGTTATTTGTCCACCTTAATACTTTTGATAAATGTCATAAGCAATAGATTACTCCATAAAATTAAATTGTCAAAAATTACCAGATTAACTTTATTGTAATTACATTATACGTACATTATATTTCCTATTATTATTAATATTATCAGTGTAAGCAAAATAAATTGAGCTGTTCATTATAAAAAAATATAGGATATAATTTTGACTTGAGAATTGTCAAAAGTGGCTTAAAAATTAAAACAATTGTCTGAAGAGATTTTAAGATTTATTTATTATCTTAGAATAAAATCTATTGTCAGAAAAATCTTATATAAATAATTGGGCAGCTAAACTGTTTCATGTAGAATTCCACATTTGACAATATTTTCATTGTTCTATTCATAGCATGTAGAATTTCTCAGTGAAGCAGCATCTAGACTAGCTTTAGCACCAAACTGTTTCCCTCGATACTTCTTCCAGAGTTTACAGCAGACGGCCCTTAAGGTAATCAAAATTACTGCCTGTATATTTTCATGCTCACATCCCTGCAGCAATCCTGAAACGATGTCTTGGAGAACATTCAAGTGTTTGAAGGAAGATTTAAGCCGCGTCATGACAAAACCAACATAATGGGTTTGCGACTAGCGTGGATCCAGACCAGCCTGAGCATCCCCGCAGTCTGATCAGGATCCATGCTGTTTGCTAACAAACTCTATTACCAATAGAGAAACTGATAGCGAACAGCATGGATCCTGATCAGACTGCGTGGACACGCAGGCTGGTCTGGAATCATGCTTGTCGCAAACGCATTACATTGGTTTTGTCATGACGCGGCTCAATTTTTATTTTTACTGTTGGTCAGGATTGTTTAGGTGAATTTTCACCTTTGTGTTACAAATTTAAAATGTTTACGAGATGTGGGACAAGCTTGGGTTTAATAGTACATGTATTTGGATTTGTTCAAAAATCAAATTAGTCTCTTACTTTAGTAAAGAAGTTTTTTTCCTCTTAAAGAATTATTGTTTTTGCTTAGTACAAGAAGTCATCTAGCTCCATTTTCTTTAGAAGCAAACTAGGAGTCTCATATAAGATGTTCATAATATATGTATAATACCGATATGTGAAGTTCATTGCCCTTGACAATTTAATTCTAATTGTGTAAAATAATATTGAAGTCATTGAATGTTTTAAGAGCAGAAACATGGTTCATATATATGTTTGCTTTACTTGAAATAGAGTTTTGCTATATATTTTTCTCAATTAAGAAATTTTAAACAACTAGAATCTGATATATGTCGTTGCTTGGATGGGATACAAGTGGCTTCATTTAACAGTAACACACTCTCATCAAGATTTAAAATTTTCAGTTAGCAATATCTCCACAGCAGACAGCCACAGAGCCAGTTCTTGTACAGAATGATACATACCTGACACTCAAGGTTGAAGGTATAGTTCAACATGGGACCAAGCCTGGTCTCTTCCGCAAGATACACAGCATTAATATCATAGTTACATCAAATGTTGTTTCAAGAACACAGACAAATACTGATCAAAAGGTTTGTAATAAATATCATCATTTACTTTTTCTTTAACCCTTTCGCTGCCAGAGGGTGATTGTTTTATTGATCACCTATTTGCCAGAGGGTTTTCTAAGAAATTACTATATTATTGATTAATATAATAATTATAATTCGTTATTAGTATTATAATAATAATATATGTTTCCAAATCTGTGAGAATAATAATAATTATTGTCGATATTATAATTTTCTTTATATTTATAATTATTATTATTATTAATTTATTATTATTACTATTATTATTATAGAAACGGCTAAAGCCGTCCATATGGCAAATACGCCGAAAATAATAGGGACGGCTTAAGCCGTCCCTAAGGCAGTGAAAGGGTTAATATTTATGGTAATATTACCTGTGGTGAACATGTATGTCCTTATATGATTAAAGTGTATAAAGCTATATACGTGCAAAAATTATTGTTTGAATGAAAGAAAGTGTACTTACAAATGCGTGTATGAAAAAAGATGGTAATTAATTGTGTTGAAAATAAAGGGCATATATACAAAATACTTACCAAACAGATAAACTCTACTTAAAACAGCACAATATTTTGTTTTATTACCCCTCACTTTTTAGCTCACCTGTCACAAAGTGACAGTGTGAGCTTTTGTGATCGCTTTTCGTCCGTCGTTCGGCCGTCGTCCGTCCGAAAACTTTTACTTTAAATGACATCTCCTCATAAACCACTAAGCCAATTTCATCCAAACTTCACAGGAATGTTCCTTTGGTGGTCACCAAAGAATTTAATTCCATGCAGAACTCTGGTTGCCATGGCAACCGAAAGAAAAAACTTTAAATGTCTTCTTTTAAAAAACCCTAAGAGCTAGAGCTTAGATATTTGGCATGAAACATCTTCTAATGAGTGTCTACCAAGTTTGTTCAAATAAAAGCCCTGGGGTCAAAATTGGCCCCGCCCATGGGGGTCTTTGATTTTCCCTATATGCATATAGTAAAAACTTAAAAAATCTTCTTTTAAAGAACCCAAAGAGCTAGAGCTAAGATATTAAGCAAGAAATATCTTCTAATGAGTGTCTACCAAGTTTGTTCAAATAAAAGCCCTGGGGTCAAAATTGGCCCCGCCCCAGGGGGTCATTGATTTTCCCTATATGCATATAGTAAAAACTTAAAAAATCTTCTTTGAAAAAACCCAAATAGCTAGAGTTTAGATATTAAGCATGAAACATCTTCTAGTGAGTGTCTACCAAGTTTGTTCAAATAAAAGCCTTGGGGTCAAAATTGGCCCAGACCCAGGGGGTCTTTGATTTTCCCTATATGCTTATTGTAAAATCTTAAAAAATCTTCTTTTAAAGAACTCAAAGAGCTAGAGCTAAGATATTTAGCATGAAACATGTTCTAATTGGTGTCTACCAAGTTTGTTCAAATAAAAGCCCTGGGGTCAAAATTGGCCCCGCCCCAGGGGGTCATTGATTTTCCTTATATGTATATAGCAAAAACTTAAAAAATCTTCTTTGAAAAAAAACCAAATAGCTGGAGTTTAGATATTAAGCATGAAACATCTTCTAGTGATTGTCTACAAAGTTTGTTCAAATAAAAGCCCTGGAGTCAAAATTGGCCCCGCCTCGGGTCTCAGTGATTTTTTTTCCAATTTTTAAAACAACCTGTGGCTTTCTGAAGGGGAAAATATAGTGCGATAAATCAGAAAAAGGGGAAACCTGAAATCAAATTCCAACAACTAAAAATAGGATTACCCACACATTTTATGAAAAAAATAATTTTAATTTAATTTAACATGCATGGTACATAGCAAAGGCTATCTATCGGGACAGATTTCTGTCTTCAAGCTGATATAAGATAGATGCTATTAAGTCATGGTTCTGGTAAAGAAGAGCACGAGGCATTTTAGGGGAAAATATTTGCATTTTTAGGGGAAAATATACCTATTTTTGGCTAGGGGAAACATCCTTTATTCGGCTGTAAAATACAGTGAAAAAAATCACTGGGTCTTATTGATTTTCCTTACATGTGTATAGCAAAAACTTAAAAATCTTCTTTGAAAAAACACAAATAGCTAGAGTTTAAATATCAAGCATGAAACATCTTCTAGTAAGTGTCTACAAAGTTTGTTCAAATAAAAGCCCTTGGGTCAAAACTGGCCCCGCCCCAGGGGTGTCATTGGTTTAAACTATATGTGTATAGTAAAAACTTAAAAAAACTTCTTTTAAAAAAAACCCAATGAGCTAGAGCTTAGATGTTTAGCATGAAACATCTTCTTATGGGTGTCTACCAAGTTTGTTCAAATAAAAGCCCTTGGATTAAAATTGGCCCTGCCGGGGGGGGGGGGGGGTAAGGGGGGGAAGGAAGTTCGTTGTTTTTCATTATATGTGTGTAGTAAAAACTTAACATCGTGAAACATCTTCTAATGGGTGTCTTCCAAGTTTGTTCAAATAAAAGCCCTTGGGTTTAAACTGGCCCCGCTCCGGATGCCTTTATACAGGTGAGCGACTTCAGGGCCATCATGGCCCTCTTGTTTCATTTTTGTGCCCCCACTATAGGGGGGGCATTTAGATTTACCCTTGTCCATCCGTCCGTCCGTTCCCTTTTTGTGTGGCACGTAGCTCAAAAAGTAATTGACCTAGTCATGAAACCTTACAGGAATGTTGATCAGCATGTGAAGTTGTGCACCTGGGTATTTTCATGTGGATATATTTAGTATTTTTAGAGTTATTGCCTTTGACTTAGTAAAAATTTGCGATTTTCAACTTGTGTCATACGTAACTCAAAAAATATTTGACCTAGAGTCATGAAACCTTACAAGAATGGTGCTCAGCATGTGTAGTTGTGCACCTGGGTATTTTTGTGTGGATATTTTTAGTATTTTTAGAGTTATTGCCCTTGACTTAGTAAAAATTTGCAATTTTCAACTTGTGTCACACGTAACTCAAAAAAGTATTTGACCTAGAGTCATGAAACCTTACAAGAATGTTGCTCAGCATGTGTATTTGTGCACCTGGGTATTTTTGTGTGGATATTTCTAGTATTTTAGAGTTATTGCCCTTGACTTTGTAAAAATTTACAATATTTAACTTGTGTTGCACATAACTTAAAAAGTTTATGACCTGTAGGCCTGAAAGTTTCCAAGAATGTTGGTCAGCATGTGTACTTATGCACCTTGGGGTTCCTTGTGGATTTATTCAGTGTTTGTAGCATTTGCCCTTTACTTAATACAAGAGTTTTAGTTTTCAACTTGGGCAGATGTAGCCAAAAAAAAAAATGACCTAGAGACATAAGATTGACAAATAGGTGGTGTGTGGGGGCACCTGTGTCCTATGGACACATTTCTAGTTTGGATATTATTATTATACATGTGTAATTATATAGTTGTATTGCATTACTTGATATAAATGTTTCCAGGTTACAGAATCAAGTGTGAACAATCTGGAGCAGTCAGTTGAACCACATAATGACTACTTCAGCCTCAGTTTTATACTTCGTTTCCCGCTAGTTGGCATTCACTCAGTAAGCATAGAAGCGGCCATTACTGACACAGAGGGAGCCACATGGAGAACTGGTCCTAAAGTAAACCTTCAAGTCAAGTCTTACGATGATGCTTTACAAAGGCAACAACAGAAACTCCCTCAACGGCCAAGTTACAGTCAGCTGCTGACATCTTAATACGACATACTATGACATTATTTTTTCACAGCCTCAATTAACCACTTTTTAAAATGTTGTAATATCTGTTCAAAAGGGAAGTTTATAGTCTGTTTTAAATTCACAACATGACAAGCAGTGACTGTGTATGATGAAGTTTATAACTACAAATGTGGTTGCTATTGTAATATTTAAGGAATCGTAGTCTTTACGATGTTAATATTTGACTACAAGATTTAACAGAAGAAAATCATTACTCTTTCGAATGTGAAAAGTGGTTGTTTCTTATTTAGATATACCATTTTTTAAAGAAAATACATGTATCTATCTCAAGCTAACTGCTTTGTTTATTATAAATCAAGATTGAAATGGATACCATCATGAATAAAACAAGTGCAATTGTTGCGTTATTATATTAAGCCATGTTAACTCCTACACTTTTGGCAACATACAGTTCAAATTCAGGCAAAACAAATCTTCATATGAAATAGAATGCATGATTAATATTCATATTCATGCTTAAATCCTATGTACAAAATATATATTAAATTTAAAATGTAGCTGGAAAGATTAAAAAAACAACAAAGATATAAAATGTTACACACCAATTTTATTGATGACTCGTCCATCTTGACTTTACAAGATTAAAAGCAGGCATTATTTATTCCAGTTAACAAGACTTAGTGTCGGAGATTAGAGATTTTTCTCTCGTTTTGCTTACGAAAAAAGTCTATAAAGTAATTAATATCTTTAGATTAAGGGGCCCTGACTTTGACAGTGAAATAAATTAGACAGAAGGTTCAAATCAGGCTAGGAATATCAAAGTGATATATTCAAAAGTAATGATTTAATATACAAAACTTTGTCTTAATAAATTTTGACTGAAGACAAGTCCACCTTTTTCGGCTTATGCATTATCTTTCTTGGTTGCCATTCTAAAATCATTTGCTGTATACTTGTTCATATATTGTGTGATTAAGATAACATAAAAATCTCAAAATTCTGACATTCCATATAAGCTAATAAAAACTGTTTTTGATAATGGTAATATAATAATGGCTTTCTTTACATGTGTCAAAGAATTTTCCAATTTTAAATCATCTGCTTACTGCAAATATATATGTTTTACCGATTATAATATGAAACAAGAAACATGGCAATGCCACTAAACCAGGTTTTCAATTATCACCATTGTAGATACATATGTTGTAGTTGAAATACAAGCAACAAACAATGTAATTATGTGCTATATAAATCATGAATAATGAATTTTCTATTTTTAGCAACTGTAACCTTGACCCTAGGGGGCAAAAAAGCCATCCCAAGTGAGGTCGTTATAAAAACTTGCTTTACACCAAATTTCATACAAACATCTTATTCCAAACTAGTTATTGACTGGAAACATTTTTCCTATTTTTGTGTCGCCTCTACGGAGTAGTGGCGACATATAGGGATCACTTCTCCGTCGTCTGTCTGTCCGTCTGTCTGTCTGTCCATATGTCTGTCTGTCTGTCCGTCCGTCACAAAACTTGTCCGGACTACCCCTCATAAACTACTGGTGCAATTTCATCCAAACTTTACAGGAATGATCAGTATCAAGTCTAGTTGTGCATATTGTCAGCATTTTCCGGTTCAATGATTTTTGTCAGAGTTATGGCCCTTTAATAATTTTTAATTTTAAAGTTTGTCCGGACTACTTCTCTTATACCACTAATGCAATTTCAATGAAACTTTACAGGATTGATTTGTAGCTCAAGTCCTTGCGCATATTGCTAGGGTTTTCCGGTTGAATGATTTTTGGCCGAGTTATGGCCCTTTGATAAAAAGGTGTTTTTTTCTGTGTGTTGCCAGATACACAATAGCTTGTCCGGACTACTCCTCATAAACTACTGGTGCAATTTCATCCAAACTTTACAGGAATGATCAGTACCAAGTCTAGTTGTGCATATTGTCAGCATTTTCCGGTTCAATGATTTTTGTCAGAGTTATGGCCCTTTAATAATTTTTATTTTTAAAGTTTGTCCGGACTAGTTCTCTTATACCACTTATGCAATTTCAATGAAACTTTACAGGATTGATCTGTAGCTCAAGTCCTTGCGCATATTGCACGGGTTTTCCGGTTGAATGATTTTTGGCTGAGTTATGGCCCTTTGATAAAAAGGTGTTTTTTTCTGTGTGTTGCCAGATACGCAAAAGCTTGTCCGGACTACTCCTCATAAGCTACTGGTGCAATTTTATCCAAACTTTACATGATTGATCAGTACCAAGTCCAGTTGTGCACTGTTCGTCTGTCTGTCCGTCTGTCACAAAATTTGTCCCAACATGAAATTGGCCATTATGAGGCGACACATGTGATTACTGATCGCTCTTGTTAGTAACAGTGACCTGACTAGAAACAGATTTTCTATTTAAGCAACAATTACCTTGACCTTGACTCTACAGGACCCAAAAGCAGGCAGAATGAGCTGGCAGGCATGCAGCAACCTAGATAGTTTCTGTTTTATAACTAAATTAAGTTTGTTGTGATTAAAAGGATATATTACACTTATAATGAAATTTTATGAAAAAAGGGCCATAATAAGGTAAAAACTTATCCAATCACAAAACCCCGACAATATGCATCAGAGCAATTGAAGACAAAGCTAATCTGTGAAAGTTTGAACAAAATCCCTTGAGAAATGTAGAAGGAGTTGCTCAACAGAACAAATTGTTCACTATATAAGGAAAAAAACAACAAAGGGCCATAATTAGGTCAAAAATTATCCAATCACAAAACCCCAACAATATGCATCAGGACACTTGATGACAAAGCTTCTGTGAAAGTTTAAACAAAATCCTTTGAGAAATGTAGGAGGAGTTGCGCACAGAAAAAAATGTTTACGTCCGTCCGCCCGCCAACAAACCTCAATCTAATAACCAGTTTTTTCCTTCGGAAAACCTGTTTAATGATTGTCACATTTGTGAGTGAGCTAAATACTGTAGAAATCTAGAGAAAGAATAAAGGTAACTCGTGAAACAATTAGTCTTAGATCACTAAATTTATTTCGTCTATTTCGTTTGCATTATTCTGGCGAGTAGTTTGCATATATGCCATTTTGCAACATTGTTCCTTTTTCTTACTTGAAGTGAGGACAAGTAACATTTTAAAGCTTCTTGATGCCAAAGTTGATCTTCGTAACATTGTCCAAGTAAATTTAGAACCGTTTCTTTGTGAGAAAGACCTGTGTCAAATGCAGAATATGTCATCAGTATAAAGAGAGCATTATGTGTTTCCTGGGGTTTCTTCTGATGTCTATATACTTTGTATTGTAAAAAATATAAGAAAGGTACTAAATCAACCACAGACATATCCATCCACAATTCATCTCTCCCATTTCTATGCTTCATATCATCTTGACTAGATCTGAACAGTTCATATTGTAGTTCATGGGGAATACAGTTAAATTCACTTTTATGGAAACGAACACAATACGCTATATATGACTGAAGTTCAGTTTCATCTTTGCAACAGAATGCTAGAAATTCTTTTGGAATTTTCACGCTATTTGGATAGCATCCACAGACGGGAATTATATCAGCAAATTCAATTTTACTCTGAATATGCCTCAAAATGATTTCACAATTTTTCAAATTCCCTAAACAATAATATGTAGAAGCCAGTTTGATAATTTTAGAAACACTACTTTTTTTATCAAATTCTAAACAAGTCAAAGCCTCGTGTGAAATGGGGATAGATTGACCAATGTTTGACGAGGCCAATATGGATCCTAATGTTGTGTAAATCTCCTGTAACACAAACGTGCAAGCTTTTTTGTCTAAAAGGCTACCTCCTTCTCTAGCATTAATCAGTGTTTGTATATAAAATCGTAACGTTTCTTCGTTTTCCATAGACAGGAATTTAATACCTTTATGAACATTTAGAAATATATTAATATTTAGCTTCAAATATACGTATTCCCTGATTTCTTTTAGAGACTGAAACTTGTTACCAGTAATCTGAGGTATCAGGTTCAGTTTAATCTGTAATCTTTTACCTAGATTGTCAATTTGAATACCGAATAATCCAAGTCCGTATGTGTGTACTACATTATTAAGTGTGCAAAGCAGGTTACGCTGTTCCTCGCCCGTGAACTCACCTGCCATCAAATTATTTTCATTAATAATGAAATGTGGGCATTTCTGACTTAATATAAAGAACCGTAATTGTAGCAGACAGACAAACACACATATGTATAAATTATTTTCTCTCCACATTCCGGGCTCTGATCTTTCTATGCAATGAAACAATGTTGTTTTGCACATAAAACTTGAAATTTTAGTGTCATTCTCAGTAGTTAAATATGAGTTTGCAATCATTTTCAGTAAAACGTAACAACGTAATTGGGTTATATTCAGACTAAACATTAAACATCTCTCTGCTATTGAAGTGGATATTCTCCATTCACGATGTTGGTTTGTACTTATTTTACTTCCAACCGGGACTAGAAAAAAACCCTTACTAATGCAATTTCTTTTCATTTCTGGTGTTGGCCATCCTCCCAAACCTTTCCGGTCAAACCAATTTGATACTGAATGTGGCCATGAGAAACAAGGAAAAGCATGTACAATATCCGTGTCAATAAAATCTCCTTGTGGCCTCAGTGCTGGTCCATGTATTTCTGCTCCGTGCAATGTTTTGTTTAAAGTTAATATATTTCGTAAAAGCCAATTGCTAGTATATATGAGATCATGATCTACACCAGTCACTGATTTACCGGATCCGATAAGCCGAAGATAACAGTATCCTTTAGTTGTATTATCATCTGTGACCATTAGGTAGTTATCCCTGTCTTCTTTGATGTCACCGATGTTCTGTATTACATTAACCATGTTATAGCACTTTAGAATATCATAATCTGACTGAAGTCCTTCAGTAGTGGTACCTTCACTTTGACTTCCTAGAAAGTAGTTGGTTATATCATTTCGATATTTTAAAATTTCTATTAATGTTTGAATTTTCTCAGTCAGCAAGTTTGTCTCTCTTCTCTTCATCACCAATTCCTTGTTTACACCAATATCGTCCATAACTTGAGAGAGTTTAAGAGATATGTTATGATCATATTTAGCTTTGCTCAACATTCTGAAATGAAACAAGAAGTATTTTTATAAAGATACTCGGCCGAAGTACAACTGGTTAACAACAACTGGACAATATCTGGAAATTTTGTCAAGTTTGGTAAGATATTTAAAAAATAACACAGACTTTTACGTTGATTGGTCACTACCCCGCACCCCCCCTCACCCCACACCCACTCTACAGACCTCCTACCTCTCAAAACCATGTAAAATACAGTATTTTTCATTTGAAACATGTTTTAATATTTGGTTTATGCTTTTAATTCAATTACCTTCATTTCCCACAAAAAATAAATAATGATACATATATATTTAGTAAAGGTATGCAACTCGCCGCTCAATTTTCAGCACTCATCTTAATATGAACTCCATAACTTCAACATTTTACTAAATATATATGTATCATTTTTTTATTTTTTGTGGGAAATGAAGGTACAGTAATTGAATTAAAAGCATAAACTAGGAGGGTTGTAGAGTGGGTTTAATAACGTGTAAAAATAACAAAACAATCTACTTTTAAACAGCGAATTTCGTAAAAAAGAGGGATTTTTGTTCAAAGAAAAAATTCTTGACAACAAATTCCTCCGCCCCTGAAACTTAGAATTTGTAAATGGCGGCCATTTTTTCTTTCGACTCGGATTAAAGATACAACAGAATGTAGGCCTAACACGATAAAATTCTTACCTTTAATTTAAACATCGATCCAAAAAATCCTTAGGCTTAGAATCACATAAACTTTACTGCACTTTTTGTCTTGAATTGTCAAATTCAAAAGTTCACGATAATTTCAATCAAACAAAAGTCAAATCGGCAATCAAACACAAGCTACACAAACATGCGTCTTATTTTTTAAACGAAACAATTTGTTCACTTAAATAATCCGGCAAAATAAAGTTAACATTTCTACAAGTTCTCAAAGAAAACCGTCAAGTCTGTTTGTTATGTTTACATGTATAGTAGTATGACGTGAACATTGATGATGTCATTTGCAATATAAATTATGACGTCACTCATTTAGTTGGTGTTAAAACTATTCGCTGTCTAATTTATTCGTAATTGAAATCAATATATATTGCATCTTGATTCAAGGGTATGAGATTACATTGTAGAATTCACATGCTGATGAAAATGAGAATATAAGCAATTGAAAAAAGTCCGTTTAAATGGGCGGGGCTTATTTTTGATATCAGGTTACTGACCTGATATCAAAAATAATTATCAGGCAAGTGTTATCGGGCAGTTACCGTAGCAGTTGCATGATAAATAAAATAAACAGTTTTATCAACGTTTTCAAAACTCATTTCACGACAGGGGCGGAGCCATATTTAACACAGTACGTGTGACGTCACACGCACTCGTTACTGCATTTGAAATAAAAATGAGCGATTATTCGTAAAAAGTACATCGAGCTCGCTTTGAGGCTTTGCCTTTTTCATATTAAGTAAATGCCGTGAACAGAAACGAATAAATTGGTGATGTTCAACCTATCATCGGAAGAGGGACCACTGCGCATGCGTCGGCGTTTGGAAAATCCCGTCCGCCATTTTCTGTTAATCTCTAATCACAAAATTATTATGTTGTTTTTACGTTATATTTAATGTGCTAATTTATCAAAAAGGATTTAAAAGTAACTTTTTACATTTATCATCGTTACTTTAGTTCTTATGAATGAAATGAATGTTTATTTCCTGATTTTGTATATCATTCTTCAACGGAAGTGTTATTAAGCATGCGTCTGCTAGCAAAAGTCTGAATGATGTAGACGCTCATTAAAAGCGCTGTGATATCTATATTTAGCTCAAAAGGATTTCAAAATGGCGGCGCCCAGTTTTCACAGCTCATTAGGTATAGGATATATATTTTTTTGAAACTGTCATTTACTTTAAATGTGATTTCATTTAAATTGATACGCGTCATACATGTTATCTAAGAGCGCTACAGCCCTCGCGGGGCCTTCGGCCCCGCTCGGACTTTCCGCGTATAAATATCATGTTATCATATCTATATTCATTATACTAACATAATGCTCAACAATTTTGGTAACAAATATTTTTTATTTGACATAAATGAACAGCAAAGAAATAATAAAATGTCTAAACATGTTATTTTACGTTTTAACTTACTCATTTAAGAAGAAAAACAAAGTGCCGGAATTATCTACTCGCGCGCGTTAAAAATATCCTTTTTACGTACCTCTTCCAGGGCCTATCAAAATTACCCGTTATGTTTCTAAATATAACATTTATGGTGATACCGGAAAATCGAAGAGCTGGCAAGATTCATCAGAATACGAAAACAAATAAATGAAATATGCCCCAAAAACAATGATTTTCGGCCGAGTTTATCTCCCAAACCAGTATACTCATTTTGCAAACATTAAAATTAATTATAGCATATTGATATCGATGATTTTTCAAAGTACATTTTGTAGGATAACTTCTGTCTTAAGGATCCCCTTTACGTTATACATTTGACTTTATAAATTCTGTAATCATTAACAAAGAATTGTCCTTTACATTTTAATTTACAGTGGCAAATACTATTCCTTACATTTTATTTTAGAGCTATCCTTAAAACTTTTTTTTAATTGTAAGAACTATCCTTTATAATTTATTTTAGAATGGTTAGAACTATCCTTCACATTTTATTTTAGAATGACTGATTCCAGTTTGTAATTTTATCATGACCAATGAAAATTCTTTCTATATTCAGTCCTTCCCTGTTTATTTTACAAGAAGTCAAACTGATAACAGAGCTAGACGGACTTCGTCCGAAAAAAACGTGATAGTGTGGTTAAGCGTTTGTATATATTTGCGCAATCAACACAATTAAACTCCCTCCCCCCCCCCCCCCCCCCCCACACACACACTAGTGTTTTTTGGGCAATTGTACCCCCATCAAATGAAACATGCTATTGAATATTTCCCCACCCGATATGTCCCTTAAGAATAATTACCCGAAAATTCCCCCTTTTCTTCTCATTGGTGTGCATTACACTTTATAATCCGCATTTCCGTCTTTTGAAGGATATAATCCCAATGACTTGAAATCTTGTTGTGTGTCATATCTGTTAATACGTAATGTCAGAGTGTGGCCAATTGTAAAACAAATGCTGTACGTGAGAGAGCATATTCAAATGTTGTTTGAATAGAAAAGAGTGGTCTTTAAACAGAGGCATGATTCTGTCAATACCCACAACATGGATGTGTACTTTTCTTACCTGAAAATAGGCGTGAAAGTCTTATAAAAAAGTTCTAATAAGGTTCATTGAAAAAGTAGATGGTACAAATCAACTGAAATTTTAAGCGAACGAAAACACATTTCTGTTTTTATGCATCATATTACGAGATTGAATTAATTGTTATATAAAAATAAGGTCTTTTCAATATCTGTATTTTTACAATTATTGTCAGGAAACTTTATTACTAAAAAGTTTTGCGTGTTACTTTTAATAAAGGCATTTGAGAGAGGGTAAAATCTTTTACAAGTTTACTTTGTTTCTGTCCTGGGAGCCATGAAAAGACTTTAAATAATTCAGATAACTACAACGGACTTTCGATAATTCTTAAGATAAAGAGCTTCCATTAATATTGTCAATTTAACTCCATGGTATTGTATCAAACAATGTGATTTGACCTGTTCAAGCGATGACTCATTTTGTACCTTGACCTTATTCGAAGCGAAATAAGCTGTCATATAACAATTTTAAGAAAACATTTTTATGTAAATTTTATAGAACTTATCACATCTTGTTCTTATACTAAAGTAAGATCAAGTTTAAAGTTATATATAAGCTGTCAAATTTAATTTAACTCGTATGACGTGACTGTAATCGCAGACAGTATAAGGAAAGTAACGCCCGCGATCCGTGGCATTCTTACATCAAGTCTATACCCAGAGCAAGTATTTCAAGTGCGCTTAAAAGTTATATGATTTCATATGATATATAAAATGCTTTATAGTCGTCTGGCCCCGTGGTCAACCTTGGGTAACACGGGAATGAAACTTTTAAAAATTTCCTCTCACCTTGTATCGATCGTTAGCCTTATTTTTAAAATCACTATCTGATCTACATGTATTAATTCTACGAAGTTTGTTTAAACTATTTAGGCCTATTCCTTATTAAAAATGGTCACTTTTCGTACTGTACACTTGGTTTATATCGAATCGAATTTACACAAAGGATAATAACACGAATACACCCTACAGTTTAGCATTGTATTGTTTGATTTTATTTCGTCTTTGCACACAATATATTAATCTTGGACATTCCATAATAGTATAAAGCGTTATAGCGCAATACTGTATGCTATGGGTAATAAATGACCTACGTACGAGGGTCATTCAATAAGTCCTGATAATGGTCTTATTGTAATAAAACTATAAGTGATACATACATACCGTATCTATATTCATTGAAAGTAACTACCCCTGTTTCTAACAAGCAAATTCGTTGAATTTATATCCCCCGCCGAGTACTGGTTATTATTAACACAACAACTGAAGACATAAGGCTTTATTTATATATTAATCATGGCATAAACTGTAATATTCTTTGAACTTGAAGCCTTGTACCTTCAAACAAGAAGAATTTTTAAGTTTTCACTATATACATATAAGGAAAAATCTATGACCCCCTGGAGTGGGGCCAATTTTGACCCCAGGACTAAAATTTGAACAATTTTGGTAGAGGACCTATAGGTTATATCATATACCAAATATCAAAGCTCTAGGCCTTGTACTTTCAGACAAGATTTTTTTATTTTGCATTTTTGAAACTCCTTTTCTGGCCCTGTGACCTACTTATGCAACAGACCGGAACCATTTGATCAACTTTGGCAGGAGACCACCCTAGGATCATTCCTGTAAAGTTTGGTTGCTGTGCAGTCATTTGTTTCTGAGGAGATGTTGTTTAAAGAAATTGCTGACGACGCACGACGACGGACGGTGGGGGATCACAATAGCTCACCTAGATGTAAAAACATCTTAATCTCCAGACTTCATTGCCATTTTCAAGGCATCAAGAAGGATCTCACAATTTTCAAATATTTTTAAATGTTATTGTAACAAATCATTTTAATTCTTCTTTAATAAAAAACTAGAAATGTGT